CGTAACTCTGGAAGATGGAACTCCATTATCAACTGCTAAATAATTTGAGGTTTATTGACCTGGGGGTCATTAACAGAAACTTCATAAAGTTACGAATTCGTAAATCAATTGTTGTTACCATGGATATAATGACGTCACGGTTAAAGAACAGTGGACTTTACGAATTCTTAACTTTATGAAGTTTCTGTTAATGGCCCCCAGGTTCTCCGTGATTGTTCTGTCATCTTCATTGTCGAACTTCTTTCTCTGGGGCTATTTGAACGAGCATTTTTAAGCTAATCCCAAGCCAAAAGACCTAGAACAACGTAACGCCAACATCCAAATAGAAATTCAAAACATTCCTCCTGAAACATTATAAAATGTGATGAACAGTGTACCATATCGAAATATGGAATAAAAAGTAAAGAGTTGAAACAACAAAAAGCCAATACTGAACTAAAAACTGTGTATTGGGGAGAAAACTTACATGCTTTAGCTACATGACCATGCAAAAAAATGTCTGAAAATATTGATTGGTTTAGCTGTGTTGTTGGTATACTTTTGGGTACATTTTTTGAGACACCCTGTATATATATATATAATATACATGTAGGCCTAGTACATTAGAATCCTAGATTTGTTCCAATATGTACAAATCTAGGATTCCATTTTTCTACTCACATTCTAAATGTTCTACTTTATCTCATAAAAGATCCATGATATTACCTAATCAAAGGGTTTGTAGAAAAAACCGGGTACCGGGTACCGGGTAGTAAATCCTCCATGCTGGGTTCAAACTTGGTACCCGGTCAAAAAAACCGGGTACCCAAAAAACGGAAACGGTACCCGGTTTTTTCTACAAACCCCTAATCAAATGGTAAATTTATTTAAGATGTATATATAGAAAGCTCTATCTACTCCAAGAAATTCCACAATGAATGAGAAAGTTATTCTAAAATAGAGGATTACCTTTTTCATATATTCTTTTTTCACCATATCAAAAGTCGTCAGCTTTACTAATACTAAATTCTTACCATATCACTGTCAAACTTGCAATTATATTATGATTGGTCAAAACTGGTTCACATGTCATGAAAGATCAGGCAATATCAATTGGCGTACTTATCCAACCCTCTCCCGAGAATTTTAGAAATAAAACTTCCTTTAGTGAATATTAGATCATAACCATGTGGTTATTTTTTCTATTTATTTTTCATACCGATACATCATCTTAGCAATTGTAACAAATAAAATAATTGTTCAAACATAAAATATGTGAAGCATATTAATCAATGTGTTTACATGGTAAGGATTATTCTTCATAATCAATTACCAAGTGAATCTTGAAATGACAAGAGATGTAATGTACAAATATGTAATTCATTTCACATTATTTATTAATATCTCAGGTGTTAATAGAATTTGTTTCCAATTAGCTAGATATGCAAGAAATATTGACAGGTCCCTCTTATCAAACTGACTTGCGAAAATGATAGTATTATTAAACTCACACTTTTATAAATTTAACAATTAATAATGAGTTACCATGGCAACAATCAATACAAATTTGACAAGTAAATGGTAGGAGGGACTACTCAATTTTTGTACATTGGATTTTGACCATTAGATCCCTAAGAGATCCCAAAGTGACTTAAATATTTCACTCTCATATTCTTCGACCAAACATGCTTTAGTTTATGAGAAATCAGACCGAGGTTTTTTATCAATCACAGGTCTTGTTCTCTAAAATATTCAGGCCTTTTCATGTGAAAAATGTGGGGGCCCTCCCAAGATATTTTGGTCAAACCCTCACTTACATGTAAAATAAACAAAATAAATTTTAGAATTTACAACAGTTTTATTTGTTTGTCTATGCGCATCAGTGCAGCTGTTTTACAAATATATATTTACAATTTGATATCCATAACGTTTTACAACATCTTAGTTGAGAGTCAACTGATGTGATGCAGATGTTGATGCCACCTATTGCAGCTGTATGACATTAATGTCTATGATGATTCCACATCCAATTTGAACACAAGTGTCCCATTTTTTAACCTTAATAAGAAATACAACTACTGGTATATTTGGTAGCATTATACATCAGTGTAGAGTTGGCAAAGACTCTCTTACAAGAACCAGTTTTGAAGTTAAAACCGTGTTTACATGAAATGTGGAATAGTACATTACATGAACAAGGTATACTTCCCAAGACCCTTGGTTTTGGTTAAAGAGGCTTAGTCAACTACACTGTGATGTAGCTTGATATTGTGACACTATTCAGGCCTGTCAACTGTCCCGCAATTTGCGTATTTGTCACGCATTTGCTGAAGAATTTGAAGTCACGCCAGTTTCTTTTGCGTGACAGAAAATGTCACGCAAAATACGCATTTTACCCGGGAATTGTCAAGCAAAAATATTTCTGTAGAAATTTTTTCGAAAAAAGTTAACGATACGCTAAAAATACGAACGTCGGAAAAAACCGAACGCAATTTGTTCGGATTTGTCACGCGAATCCCGTATGTGTCACGCATGTTCGTTGGAAATTTTTCGTAAAACTTTGGCCAAAGGTGTTTAAAAGTTGGCCAAAGGTGTTCAAAATTTGGACAAATGTGTTCAGATTTGGACTTAGGTGTCCAACATTTTGAAGTCACTCATATTAGGTGGTCCCAAGTTGACAGCCCTGCACTATTTGAAACAGCAATTTAGTGTGTATAAATACACATGTTCCTAGCACATGTACACCTTGTACATTAAGACATGCTCCTTATGTTGATCAACTGTTGACTGGAGTACACATGCTCTTAAGACGGTGGGATAATCAAACACAAAATAAAAGACTATGAGAGTGCAACTAATATGTGCAAATCCAGATTATATTTGATAGATGTGCATCAGTTGACGGCCAACTACCCTAGTTATAATTAACTGCCATATTGAAATAAATTGCAAATGGTGACCTCTTTGCTTAATACTGCACACATACTCAAATTTATAGTAGCGTGTTGAGAAGGAAGGATTGTCCATATTGATCAGAAAACAACTGTGCAAATGAATAACAAACAAGTCTTTCAATATTGTAGATTCTCTCAAGTGTGTCTTGAAATAGAGTTAACTCAAAACAACAGAATAGAATAATATAGCCTATACCAGCATATGTAAAATAATATTAAGGTACATTAACATGATAAATGGTTTTACTCCAGTTAAAGGCACAGATTATGCCAAAGTACATAGCAGTACATTTTAAATGAATAAACACCAGGACAGACTACAGACTCCTTGCAACATGTTTCCTTTGTGTTGCTATAAAAAATGTTTTGATTTGGCAATGAAAAAAAGAGTTAATAAATCCTGGTTTAAAAATACATTTTTAGCATTTTCATCTTTGGCATACAAAAGATACATTATAGTTAGATGCTATCTTTTTAAACAGCCAATAAATAATATCTAAACATTAATAAATAAAACAGAATAGTTAACGTTTGATTTTATCATGAAATATAAATCACAACCCTAAGTCAAGGACATCCTTCTTTACTACTGCCTTTATAACCAATATAATAATTGAGAACAAGGTTGAAATGGTTTATCCGTGAATGAGACAATCGCACCAATTAAGTTTAACTTTAATTAGTAAAGTATTACAATATTAAAGCAACACAATAATGAAGTAATTCAAGTAATAATGACTTGACAATTAAAAGAATCCAACTTCATTCAACAACGATATATGCAAAATATTACTTATTTGAATAATAATACCCTCCAAACCGACATCAATATTTTCTTCCATTTTTAATTGCCAGACAGATTTCATCCAAAGATATAGTATTACATTTAGGTTATTGTGCTATAACATTATTCCCGAGTCCCTTGACAACACCTACAAGAACAATCATGTTTGTACCTTTTCCTAGTTACCTATGGAATGGACAATATTGCAACAACACTGCAAAATATATAACAGTATAACTATCCCCACTGAATCTGAATGGAGAACCCATTGATAGAATAAATCAAGTAAAAAAAGAGAGATGTTGATTTGTGGTATATGAATACAAAACATGTAAAGAACTTTTTAAAGCACTGGTCATATTTTAACTACTTTTTGAGCAAACTGAAAAGGTTATTCATCATTTACAGACTTTTTATAGGCTACATGCACTTCTACTATATACAGGGTGGTCCAAAAAATGGGACACTCATATTTCAAAAATAAATATTGATTTTCTTGATGAAAACATGTCATATTATATACCAGTGGATAGAGAATTTACTTATCTTTAATTTGGTATATCATAAGTTCAAATTAATTATTGGTATATCATAAGGTAAGTTCAAATTTATTATAATGTCTGTCCATCAGCATCCATAATATGAATGATGTCATTTTCATTTCAAAACAGGTTCTTCAAAACTTACAAAAACAAACTTTATTTACATAAACATATTCAATATGTCTACGATTTTGATCCAATGTAGCCCTCAATTTTGGCCTAAACTGATCAATAGCATCATTGATACATTGTTGAGACAATGAATTTCACTTCTTCTGTTCTCAACAGTTCTATCCATAATAAGGGACTGAGTAGATGTAAGGGGTTCATGATAAACCGACTCTGTTAGTTCTCCCCATCTGGGTAGTCGCAGATGTTGACATCGGATGATCCAATTATGTTGTTTTTGGACCATCCTGATAAGACCTCATTTTCGAATCATTACATTTTCCAACAAGATGGGGCTCCAATCAATAGATCCCACAAGAGTGTCAAATGGTTAAAAGAAAATGTGCCTAGATTCATACCCCTAATCACAGCCTCCCCAGACCACCCAATAACCCAACGTCTAATATGACATGTTTTCATCAAGAAAATCAATATTTATACGAGTGTCCCATTTTTTGGACCACCCTGTACTGACCAAATCTGTTATTGAAAATGGCATTTCTAAATGGACAATGTTAGACATACATACATGTATAGTTCCTCGATCAGCAAATTTTAATCATACCTAGCTCCCATCTATATAATAATACATTAACCACTGAAGGCAGCTTACATCAAATGCGGCCAGTGATAAAAAGAATCATGCCAATTGATGAAATATTTTGAACTTACATTTACATGTAGTAATAACAATAACTTCCTATACATAATTTATAAAATACTCTACTATTTACATGTTCAGGCTGAATCTTTCACACAAATGAAACCTTCACACAGTTTTTCAACATGATACTTTGAGAATGTATGAATTAATACAATGATGACCATATAAGGAAATATACAACCAAACAACATTCATGAGAGCATGGAAACAAAAATAACCAACAATTAAAAATCTATGTTACATATGACCTAGTTTTTCTTGCTTTTAGTTTTAGTCTTTTTGGTTGGTTTCTTTCCTGGAACAACTTTAGGTTTGTGTTTTAGAGACCCCCTCTTCTTTTTAGATGTCTGGAAATAAAACAATATGGCTTTAAGTCTTACTACTCATGCATTTATCAAAGGTTTGTATGAGATGTCATTATGCAGGATGGATCAGGATTTTGACACACAGTACTGTCCCAGAGCAGGGAGTGGGGTTTTGACTAATGCTGTAAGTGGCATCAAATTTCAATACCGGTATCACATACACCCGATTTCGTACTGATCCGTAATGCTGCGAAAAGTAAAAAAATCAAAAATATGATTCGTTATGTAAAACCTTATTCTTCACCTTTTATTCTAATTCTGAAACTCATTTGACCATCTTTATGTGCCTCAAGTTCCGCATATCATACTAAAAGAGAGTCTGAATGAGAGAAGTTTAAGTTAAGTTAAAGCTGTTAGAAAACGAATTTAGCAATCTTTACATTTCGGCACTCCATTTTGAAGAGCATTTAAAGAGCAAAGAACTGAATACTTCCGTGTAAAAGATTTAGCAAATTTCTTGCCAATTTATGTTATGTTATCTATTATTTCAAGACTGTTAATAAATAGAACTATTCCACAGCACAGTGAGTCTTTATCTTTCAGAAACATTAATGTAAATGAATTAACATTTAAAAATGTAAGAATTGAATTAACTAAAGATAGATTGCTCATTGGTCCAGATAGATTTAGTGAAAACAATGGACCCTTACAAAAGAATTATTTAAAGAAACAAAAATAATTGAATTGCAGTGGAAAATTATGCATGGAATATTTCCTACCAGAAAATTAATGTACAAATATCAAATTGAAAAAGTAAAAAATGAACTCTGTCAAAGCTGCTTAGTGCAAGACAATCTGTTACATTATTTTTATGAGTGCAAATTAGTACGATATTTATGGGATAAGCATTTCCCAGGTATAACCTGTAATGCCATTTTATTTGATAATCCTATTCTTGAAAAAGGTTGTTTTTTATGTAACGTACTAACTCTCACTGTAATATGTATATATTTTGTTGATTTTAATAAAAAAAAAATGTTGTTTTACAAAAGAACAATGCAAAAACAGAGTGCAGCTATGGTTCATTGAGGGAGAGGTAAGGTATAGCATCTTCTTAACATGCTATTGTCTTTATACGGCATCCAGCATCTGATTTCAATACTGGCACTGAAGCCCTGCGCTACTTTGGAACTACTTTTGCGCTACTTCCGGTAATACTGTGATGCACTAGTTTTGGCGTACTGTTTTGTCCCGGAATGGATATTCCCATGAGAGGATTTTGATTGATCAGTTATTATTGCTCCCAGTGTAGGAAGTTGTCTTATTTTTATTTATCAAAGTCCCTACCCTTTCTCACATAGGAGGATCTCATGTAAACCTTTGGTAGCAAACATTAATAATATGAATGAGGCTAGTACATTCATAGAATGAACATCATTTGGTATCATTCAGTGCTTTTGAAAGCTCTGGGGACATGAAAACCTCTAATGATTTCAAAACTTTTAAAATCTTTTTCTTATGGTTGAGGGTATGCAACACAATAACATTCATACAGACTGGTTGAGGGTATGCAACACAATAACATTCATACAGACTGGTTGAGGGTATGCAACACAATAACATTCATACAGACTGGTTGAGGGTATGCAACACAATAACATTCATACAGACTGGTTGAGGGTATGCAACACAATAACAGTCATACAGACTGGTTGAGGGTATGCAACACAATAACATTCATACAGACTGGTTGAGGGTATGCAACACAATAACATTCATACAGACTGGTTGAGGGTATGCAACACAATAACATTCATACAGACTGGTTGAGGGTATGCAACACAATAACATTCATACAGACTGGTTGAGGGTATGCAACACAATAACATTCATACAGACTGGTTGAGGGTATGCAACACAATAACATTCATACAGACTGGTTGAGGGTATGCAACACAATAACATTCATACAGACTGGTTGAGGGTATGCAACACAATAACAGTCATACAGACTGGTTGAGGGTATGCAACACAATAACATTCATACAGACAACAAACTGATTCTGGGCAGAAAGACACAAGAACACAAATGTGTACAACATGTCCCCACCAAAGGGTGATCTTATATTCTGCAAATTTTTCATCCTAACCTGCCTAACACTAATCAGTTGAAAAGACAAGTTTTTAAGAGAAAAAATCAAATGAGGCCGCCTTAAAAATTAGCAAGACTGCCTAAAAACTAAGAAGTTTGAGATTTTCATACAAAGAATCATTCTTAGAAATTTGAAATTGATCTGTCAACTGGTTTTCCAGGAAACGTGTAGACAAGACTTTACAGAGAAGATTTCAGAATGGAAAATCCGAAATGGCCACCTTAAGATTTACCAAAAATGCAGAAATTGATCCGGAAAATGCGTAGACAAGACTTTACAGACAAGATTTAGGATGGAAATTTTTGATCCACATCTGAATTTCGAACTTGTGAAACAGTATAAAACTATTAATGCCCTCCTAAAACTAATGTTCACTAGTGTAAAGTGTCCATCGATAATTAATATTTTTATTTTACATCTTTTTCCAATCTAAACTGCTTTTGAACATGATTTTGCTGTTTTGGGAGGGCCAAACACGATTCAGAATTTTAACTGTTATTCAAGTAGAGCATCGATATGCTCGTATCGTGCCTCATTGCTTGAGCAAATCCGAGCAAATCCGAGCAATCGCGAGACCCCAACCGACAATATAGCTATGTGGTGGGGACAAAAAAACAGACTGAATCTGGGCAAAAAGACAAAATACTGTCCAGTGAATTTGAGCAAATACAGACAACAGCATAATCATACAAAATGGACATGTGCAAAACCACAGGCATAACAACATCTTAGTTGACAAAGCAAACATGAAACTAAATGTGATAAATGTGAGCTATTTATTAAGCTAAAGATTTTATTTGATCACAGTAGCCCACCAGTTAGTGTGGCTTGAACATAAAGATGTAAGATAATGACTAATATAACTATTTTTACAGATTTGCCGAATGTGCATACGAACATCAAATGTTTGCATCAGTACCAAATGTGTTTTCATTATTACCTTCAAATCACTAATGAGGCAATAAAATGAGGAAATAGTATTATAAAAGATGGGATAACACATATAGCACGTAAAGATGAAAATGAAATCACACATGCATGCATGAGTGAGTGGTATAGAGACATATACTTGGCCAATGTCACAGCTTATTAAAAATTGTTAAATATACAAAATACACATCATCTCAAACAAAAAAAATATATAAACTCACCTTTCTTGAATATTTAACTTTTGGTTTTTTAGCTTTAGTGTCAGAGAATGTAGCTTCAATTCTATTAGACAGGTCTTTGACTCTATATATCCTAACTAGCCAATGCTCTGTAGTGTATGCCTCTTCTAAATGAGTAAGTTTGATATTTTTGTTGCCTATCTCGACTCCCCTGGTTCTATCATAACCTGGTGGTGTACGGAAGTCTAACTGGAAACAGAAATAGGAAAATGACTTATATGAAATATAAATATTTATGTGTTTTGGAGTTGGCTTAGATCACTAGATATTCATACAGTTATACCTATCTCGTTAGGTGATTTAATGTTAATTTACAAAGATCATGTGATAAGGAGGAAATGTCACGTGACTACAATTGGCGGGAATCAGTTTGCGAACTCACAACCTGGAAAGCCCACCAGCCTCCCCAGCACCAACCAAAGTACATGTAAGGAACAGGTTAATGTACTGCAACTAAAGTAAGTAATAAAAACATATATCAAATATATCGTGTATTGTAATATATTTCTGAGCGATAGGGACCCCTTCGGTATAAGAATATAGTATTAAATTGAGATAGATTAACTAATGTTTCTGTAAGAATTATGTTGAAATCATGTAAACCCAATAATTGATTTAACATATTGGGTTAAAGTAGTGATCAAGCGACTCCAAACCGCACCCAACTCAAATAAATATAAATGGTTGTTATTTTGAAACACAGAATTCAATGAATCCTGTGCTAAGGGTAGGTGCGAAATATCAATCAATCAATTCTGGTGTGAAATTCTTTGTTTTATAGATTCTCATTCTCTTATATATTATTCAATGTCCAAATCATGTCAAATTCTCAGTTTATTATCTGAAAACTTGAACTCAAGACACTTTAGCGGGAATGAACAATTTAATTACAGTGAAAGATGCTTAGTGGAACACCACATGAGAGGAGCTCACTGACTCCTTATTGGTGAACCTCTGTAAGTGGAACAACTCGCAAGTGGAACACTTTTTGTGGTCACAAGGGCATTCCATTTACACATGTTCCACTGAAAAGTCTCTTCCATACACTTGCATTTCATAAATGTATCACCATATGCATATTATTAGAATGTAAGAGGTGCCAACACACTGGATATATTACTACAGGTCATAATGGACAGGGAAATTGAAGCAGCCAAGGCTTCATTGATATTCTGACTGGATCGTAGTAATCAGATATATTGAAACTATATGCGTTAACTTGACATGTGTAATATATTAGTACTAACCTGTAATTCTCCAAATCTATAGTAACTTAATTTATACATGAGGCAGTTCAATAAAGTTTTTGAGCCAGATGAATCGACACGGAACTCTCCCTGGGGGGTGAAGTAATCGGACTCCTGAAAAGACAGGGGGTGAAGAATAATTTAATAAATTATATTCTGATAAGTTGATAAGTGTCATACTTCAATTTTTGTTGCATTTCTTCATACAACTGTTAAAATTGTAAAAATAAATTTTCCGATATTTTATATTTGTCATGCCATTGGTTAAGACATTATAGGGTCCTACCTTGATATCACGAGGGTGTTCTCCCTCAGCGATCCTCACCATCCAAAGGAACTTGTTGATGTCATCTCCTGAGTAGCCAATTACGCCACCAAAGATGACGAGGACATAGTTGACATCTAACAGTCGCATGATGTCATAAGCAGCAGTCTCATTAGATGACATAGCTTTACCAACCTGTGACAATGAGAAATGTGTTATGTTAGAAATGTTTTTGACTACTAGCCCCTTGTATTAAACTACACAGAACCTTGATATACATGTATCTTTCTGCTACAACATTTAGAAATTGCTTATAACAATTGGTTCTCGGCGAAAAACCAGGTTAACAGGGCACATTTATAGGATACCTGACCCAATCACAAATTCAAAGTGGCAATTTCATATTCCTTTTCATGATATAGTGACCATTTGTGTTGTTTATTGGGTCTTATAACACATTGGTAATGTATATCCCTTCCTCCCAAATCTTTGTCTCTTCTATTATCAAATACACACCATAGCTATGTGGCTATTATTCCATGTGTTATTATCCACCAGTGTAGTCCTATTGCCCATTCCAGCTATCTGGTAGCCATAATCCCACCATGACATCACTCTGGCCTTGTCATCTGTGTTCTGACGCAGCCAATAGTATGCTTCCCTGAAGTCGTCTAATATGTTCCTAGTCCTGAAATATTGAACAAATGGTTACATTTTTTTGAAACAGCTGCAATGATTTGTATTGAATCTATTTATCTTTATCAAGGACATAGGACAATTAACATTAAGAATCCATGTTAAGACTTGAGACCAACTCACCCATCATTTCCATATGAGGCTAATACAATGCTAGGACTAGAGTAGGCATTACTGGTGACCCATGTACAATGGACGGCAAACAACATGAGCATCATCAGTAGACATATGATGATAATACTCTTTATGTTCATCCCAATACCCTCGGCATCTTTAGGCCTGTCCTCCCGTATTCTCTGTTTTTTGCCTGGTTGCACCTACAAAGGCACAACAGATGATAAAGTACTGACAAATTGTGGTCATATCAAATAGCTATATACATGTAGTAAGCCTACATATACACATCAAACTAAAGCAATGCATAACTTTTTGTCCGTGCTTTTTGGAAGACTGTCAGTTAAAAAATAAGATATTTTCTTTTAGAATATCATCATATAAACTCACTTTATCATAGTATTGGCTATTTTTCTCTTGTTTCTCTTCTTCTACGTTGGACTTGGTGGTATCATCTTTGAGATAGATTTCAAATGTCTTTGAGAATGCAATGGCTGCCAGCACGCAGACACATGGAGTTAGGGTCAACATTAGACGCACCATGACACCAGCAAAATATACAGCACTCACAGCATACAGCACAACTGAATGAAAGAGTAACAATTTGTTTCAATTATTTCAAAGTTCCGATTCTAATGTAACAGATATGTGCTTTTAAACAAGACAAATAGTGACAAATATCAGTGTGTGTCATATCTACTCTACAGTAGCCCCGGGCGGATGTAAATATTTAGAGTCAAGTATAAAATTGAATTGACTTGCCACATTGTTGAACATGAAAAACATGAAATTCGCCATTGTTTGTTATTATAGAACTATTAAAGAACGTTCATAACTACAATATTGCTTTCTCTTTAAAGATTTTTACTCACAAGAAAACTGTGAGTATACATATCATCAGTGGTAACACTGTGGCGAGTGTAATTTTTTACATTTGTGAGTGTGAAAACACAAGTTGATTGCCACTTGGCGAGTGTCAGAAAAATCCGAAGACCCGCACTGAAATATTGCCCAAAGAGAAAAATGGAAGATATGAAAATAATTCAACATCAAAAAATCTTGGAGATATCATTTCAAAATCAATTTTCTCTAAATTGTTTCTGTTGTCTAGCACATTTTACTACTTACTAAATACCCGCTCATCATTGATGTTTTTAATACAGAACCAAACGCCAGCAGGGAAGACACAAATTAGGATGTGCAGGTCAAAGAAGAACGAGACCCAAGTTGTAGGCTGGTGCTCGGATACTGATGCTATGATTGGAATGTGAATTTTTGCATAACCCGTGTCCCATAGTGAGTAGAACCTGCCACTCCAGGGGGCTACAACACCTGCAATAAAAGTTATAAAATAAAAGAGTATCTAAATAGTTAGACAGACCTCAAAGACGGGTAATTCACATAAAAAACATGAATTACATTGATTTCTTGGACACATTTTATTATAAAATCAATTTGACTGGAAGGGCATTAAAATACAGAACATGTTTTTCACAAAATGTTTCTCTGAAAAATTCTCAATTGTACAAATATGTAAATGCTAAATAACAGAGACATCATTAATAAAATAAAATCATAAAATCATGACATGATGACTGGATCTCTACAAAAGTTCCACCTTGAGTGACATGATACCTGATATTTCAAGGAACAACAGTCCATTCTTTAAATATCTTGTTAATTAATAGTTCCTTGTAGTTTCTTACCTGCCCAGGTGAGGCCCACTACAGCTAGGAATACAAGGCCAGCTGCGGCTACAATTGCGAACAGGAAGAAATAGCGGAACTCAGACTTTGTGAGGACCCCTTGTACATATTGTAGGAAAGCATATGCGTGTAGCAGAGCAAATACACCTGAAAGGAAACAAGAAAATGTCATTGAAATTAAATAATAAATAGTCACATGTTAGTAATTATTTGAGACTTATAGTCAAAATACCTCAAATAAATCAAAAAGTCTTATACTCATTTCTAAATATGTACTTCTTTCTTTATTCTTTTCTTTATTAATTAAATTTAATTTATTCATATTTTGATATAAATTTTCATAAAAAATTACAAATAAATAATCCTTATTTAGGAGAAACTCACCAGCAGCTGCCATGTGTTCACTGGTTTTAAGAGGTTGGAAGCCAACAAAGGGAACCTGCATGGAGAGAATTGTCCCCAAGATGTAGAATGTGTTATATGCTGGAAAAGAAGGTGTGAGTTAACATGAGTACAGCTGGATACCTCATATTATGCATTTAAATAAATATAAGTCTGGAGAGACCATCCTTTTTGTCAATGATGAAAAAGAAGTTTTGTGTTTCAGCTAATATTCTTTTTAAATAGTCAAGTAACTGGTGCTTGTGTACCATAGTATATCAATAACATTCTACTTGCAGAATCGAGAGAATGGAAAATTCTTTAAAATTGTAACTTACCAACATAAATTCTCCTTGAGAATCTGCCCATGAGCAGCAGGACAAAGACATGTAATGGGATAAGGTTGATAATGAACACATAGCCTCCCCATGCAGACACCTATAATAACAATCATAAGTTAGTATTATACACGAGATGACTAAAACATTTTTTTGCAATTCAGCCAACATCAACAACCGAACACCGTTCACAAAAAAGATTGGAGACCATAACAATTTGTCACCAGTTTTAGTGGTGACATCATAAATAAAAGTAATGAACCACAAAGTGCTCATCAAAACTGGCAAAACCGAGATACATCATCAGTAATTTCCTTCTTTGGAATTGTTCTCAAATGTCAATAAATTTTTCCAACAAATACATATGAGAAAATATGAGCTTATTTTTGTCCTTCACATATCACTATCGCTTTTTAAAACGGACTTACCATGTAAAAGTATGATAATGCAGTAAGGGCTCCCCAGAATATGGCACCTGTTTTCACTGCTTTAATCTAAAAGATAATTGGTCATATGAAGATAAACACATTTTCGATAATCAAAAACAAATGCCAGCATTCAAATTACACCTTGCCAGGTTTTATAGAGAAACATATTCTTGTTTAGGAAATATTATAATTTGCTCTTGTTTGCAGTTAACCAAGAATATATATTTATAATTCTATTTAATAAATCACTGAACCAATTCGTCTTATAAAAAGCAACAAATAAGCAGCCAATTTCAAGATAAACAAAGTAGAATGGATCAACAAGTTTTAATCTCTTAGTACTCACCCATAGGTAGTATGTAAACATGAGAGCAAATATAGCGATACCCTCATTGTCATAGCTACCAGCCACAGACCTACTGATGTAACCAGGCACTGAAATGAAACATCCATAAAAATTAATTATTCATCGTTACCAACATTTATCAATAGTATATCCACTTTTCATGCTAATGAGCATATTTCATCCTAAAACATTTTTAAGTCAAACCTGCATTATAAAATGTTGGCAATGGAACTTAAAAGTAACAGAATGGTTTATTGCATGATAGGATAATATGAGTTAATTAACTACATTGTAGAACCGACTGGTTTGAAAAACAAACTACATGTATTACTTAAAAATGGCCTCCTACCTATTGCGATGAAGCAAGCTGCAAACAATCCAGCACCTGGAGTCCATAGTTCCTTTGTGAAAAAATAGGTGGCAAGGGCTGTCAGTCCACTGAAAACAAAGATTTTGTTAAGTACAAACAACAAATAAAAGGGCACATATATAAACTGCAAATAAGAATATTTGAAATATAAGGCACAAACCACATGGTTCATGTACATGATAGCTGTATACAGTCACTACCTGCCATTTGTTACAGACACCAAACTAGGAACACAAATCTCCAAACACAGCCACAAAAAGTTGGAGAATATGTGCTATATGTACTGATATAATAACAGTATATAACAGCAGATACAAACTTGAATTAACAGTTAAACATAAATAGCTTTTTTAGAATATATGAAAGATCAAACTGACAATGTGGCACCTTCTTATGATAAAAAACTGAATGATTCTCTTTTATAAACTCAACAAAACAAGATTAATATAACGATAAGATGATAATAAAATTGGCAACCACAGAGTAATCCTCCATAACATGAGTAGCAAAGGTGACTTGGTAAATGTACCTGAACATGGGAGCCAAGAACACGCAGATGTCTCTGATGTGAACTGGGATGTTGAGGAGGCTGAGAACATAGTGGATGCTTCCAGAGGTCACCATCAGACCTGGGTACACCTACAAATAATAACAATACAATATCATAAACATGAGAACATAGTGGATGCTTCCAGATGTCACCATCAGACCTGGGTACACCTACAAATATATAACAATACAATATTACAAACATGAGAACATAGTGGATGCTTCCAGAGGTCACCATCAGACCTGGGTACACCTCCAAATATATAACAATACAATATTACAAACATGAGGACATAGTGGATGCTTCCAGATGTCACCATCAGACCTGGGTACACCTACAAATATATAACAATACAATATTACAAACATGAGAACATAGTGGATGCTTCCAGAGGTCACCATCAGACCTGGGTACACCTCCAAATATATAACAATACAATATTACAAACATGAGAACATAGTGGATGCTTCCAGATGTCACCATCAGACCTGGGTACACCTACAAATATATAACAATACAATATCATAAACATGAGAACATAGTGGATGCTTCCAGAGGTCACCATCAGACCTGGGTACACCTACAAATATATAACAATACAATATTACAAACATGAGAACATAGTGGATGCTTCCAGATGTCACCATCAGACCTGGGTACACCTACAAATATATAACAATACAATATTACAAACATGAGGACATAGTGGATGCTTCCAGATGTCACCATCAGACCTGGGTACACCTACAAATATATAACAATACAATATCATAAACATGAGAACATAGTGGATGCTTCCAGATGTCACCATCAGACCTGGGTACACCTACAAATATATAACAATACAATATTACAAACATGAGAACATAGTGGATGCTTCCAGAGGTCACCATCAGACCTGGGTACACCTACAAATAATAACAATACAATATCATAAACATGAGGACATAGTGGATGCTTCCAGATGTCACCATCAGACCTGGGTACACCTACAAATATATAACAATACAATATCATAAACATGAGAACATAGTGGATGCTTCCAGAGGTCACCATCAGACCTGGGTACACCTACAAATATATAACAATACAATATTACAAACATGAGAACATAGTGGATGCTTCCAGATGTCACCATCAGACCTGGGTACACCTACAAATATATAACAATACAATATCATAAACATGAGAACATAGTGGATGCTTCCAGAGGTCACCATCAGACCTGGGTACACCTACAAATAATAACAATACAATATTACAAACATGAGAACATAGTGGATGCTTCCAGATGTCACCATCAGACCTGGGTACACCTACAAATATATAACAATACAATATTACAAACATGAGGACATAGTGGATGCTTCCAGATGTCACCATCAGACCTGGGTACACCTCCAAATATATAACAATACAATATTACAAACATGAGGACATAGTGGATGCTTCCAGAGGTCACCATCAGACCTGGGTACACCTACAAATATATAACAATACAATATCATAAACATGAGAACATAGTGGATGGTTCCAGAGGTCACCATCAGACCTGGGTACACCTCCAAATATATAACAATACAATATTACAAACATGAGGACATAGTGGATGCTTCCAGAGGTCACCATCAGACCTGGGTACACCTCCAAATATATAACAATACAATATTACAAACATGAGGACATAGTGGATGCTTCCAGATGTCACCATCAGACCTGGGTACACCTACAAATATATAACAATACAATATCATAAACATGAGAACATAGTGGATGCTTCCAGAGGTCACCATCAGACCTGGGTACACCTCCAAATATATAACAATACAATATTACAAACATGAGGACATAGTGGATGCTTCCAGAGGTCACCATCAGACCTGGGTACACCTACAAATATATAACAATACAATATTACAAACATGAGAACATAGTGGATGCTTCCAGAGGTCACCATCAGACCTGGGTACACCTACAAATATATAACAATACAATATTACAAACATGAGGACATAGTGGATGCTTCCAGATGTCACCATCAGACCTGGGTACACCTACAAATATATAACAATACAATATCATAAACATGAGAACATAGTGGATGCTTCCAGAGGTCACCATCAGACCTGGGTACACCTACAAATATATAACAATACAATATTACAAACATGAGAACATAGTGGATGCTTCCAGAGGTCACCATCAGACCTGGGTACACCTACAAATATATAACAATACAATATCATAAACATGAGAACATAGTGGATGCTTCCAGATGTCACCATCAGACCTGGGTACACCTACAAATAATAACAATACAATATTACAAACATGAGAACATAGTGGATGGTTCCAGAGGTCACCATCAGACCTGGGTACACCTCCAAATATATAACAATACAATATTACAAACATGAGGACATAGTGGATGCTTCCAGATGTCACCATCAGACCTGGGTACACCTACAAATATATAACAATACAATATCATAAACATGAGAACATAGTGGATGCTTCCAGATGTCACCATCAGACCTGGGTACACCTACAAATATATAACAATACAATATCATAAACATGAGAACATAGTGGATGCTTCCAGAGGTCACCATCAGACCTGGGTACACCTACAAATATATAACAATACAATATTACAAACATGAGAACATAGTGGATGCTTCCAGAGGTCACCATCAGACCTGGGTACACCTCCAAATATATAACAATACAATATTACAAACATGAGGACATAGTGGATGCTTCCAGATGTCACCATCAGACCTGGGTACACCTACAAATATATAACAATACAATATTACAAACATGAGAACATAGTGGATGCTTCCAGAGGTCACCATCAGACCTGGGTACACCTCCAAATATATAACAATACAATATTACAAACATGAGGACATAGTGGATGCTTCCAGATGTCACCATCAGACCTGGGTACACCTACAAATATATAACAATACAATATCATAAACATGAGAACATAGTGGATGCTTCCAGAGGTCACCATCAGACCTGGGTACACCTCCAAATATATAACAATACAATATTACAAACATGAGGACATAGTGGATGCTTCCAGATGTCACCATCAGACCTGGGTACACCTACAAATATATAACAATACAATATCATAAACATGAGAACATAGTGGATGCTTCCAGAGGTCACCATCAGACCTGGGTACACCTACAAATATATAACAATACAATATTACAAACATGAGAACATAGTGGATGCTTCCAGAGGTCACCATCAGACCTGGGTACACCTACAAATATATAACAATACAATATCATAAACATGAGAACATAGTGGATGCTTCCAGATGTCACCATCAGACCTGGGTACACCTACAAATATATAACAATACAATATTACAAACATGAGAACATAGTGGATGCTTCCAGATGTCACCATCAGACCTGGGTACACCTACAAATATATAACAATACAATATTACAAACATGAGAACATAGTGGATGCTTCCAGAGGTCACCATCAGACCTGGGTACACCTACAAATATATAACAATACAATATCATAAACATGAGAACATAGTGGATGGTTCCAGAGGTCACCATCAGACCTGGGTACACCTCCAAATATATAACAATACAATATTACAAACATGAGAACATAGTGGATGCTTCCAGAGGTCACCATCAGACCTGGGTACACCTCCAAATATATAACAATACAATATTACAAACATGAGAACATAGTGGATGCTTCCAGAGGTCACCATCAGACCTGGGTACACCTACAAATATATAACAATACAATATTACAAACATGAGAACATAGTGGATGCTTCCAGAGGTCACCATCAGACCTGGGTACACCTACAAATATATAACAATACAATATTACAAACATGAGAACATAGTGGATGCTTCCAGATGTCACCATCAGACCTGGGTACACCTCCAAATATATAACAATACAATATTACAAACATGAGAACATAGTGGATGCTTCCAGATGTCACCATCAGACCTGGGTACACCTACAAATATATAACAATACAATATTACAAACATGAGAACATAGTGGATGCTTCCAGAGGTCACCATCAGACCTGGGTACACCTACAAATATATAACAATACAATATCATAAACATGAGAACATAGTGGATGCTTCCAGATGTCACCATCAGACCTGGGTACACCTACAAATATATAACAATACAATATTACAAACATGAGGACATAGTGGATGCTTCCAGAGGTCACCATCAGACCTGGGTACACCTACAAATATATAACAATACAATATCATAAACATGAGAACATAGTGGATGCTTCCAGAGGTCACCATCAGACCTGGGTACACCTACAAATATATAACAATACAATATTACAAACATGAGAACATAGTGGATGCTTCCAGAGGTCACCATCAGACCTGGGTACACCTACAAATATATAACAATACAATATCATAAACATGAGAACATAGTGGATGCTTCCAGATGTCACCATCAGACCTGGGTACACCTACAAATAATAACAATACAATATTACAAACATGAGAACATAGTGGATGGTTCCAGAGGTCACCATCAGACCTGGGTACACCTCCAAATATATAACAATACAATATTACAAACATGAGGACATAGTGGATGCTTCCAGATGTCACCATCAGACCTGGGTACACCTACAAATATATAACAATACAATATCATAAACATGAGAACATAGTGGATGCTTCCAGATGTCACCATCAGACCTGGGTACACCTACAAATATATAACAATACAATATCATAAACATGAGAACATAGTGGATGCTTCCAGATGTCACCATCAGACCTGGGTACACCTACAAATATATAACAATACAATATCATAAACATGAGAACATAGTGGATGCTTCCAGAGGTCACCATCAGACCTGGGTACACCTACAAATATATAACAATACAATATTACAAACATGAGAACATAGTGGATGCTTCCAGAGGTCACCATCAGACCTGGGTACACCTCCAAATATATAACAATACAATATTACAAACATGAGGACATAGTGGATGCTTCCAGAGGTCACCATCAGACCTGGGTACACCTACAAATATATAACAATACAATATCATAAACATGAGAACATAGTGGATGCTTCCAGATGTCACCATCAGACCTGGGTACACCTACAAATAATAACAATACAATATTACAAACATGAGAACATAGTGGATGGTTCCAGAGGTCACCATCAGACCTGGGTACACCTCCAAATATATAACAATACAATATTACAAACATGAGGACATAGTGGATGCTTCCAGATGTCACCATCAGACCTGGGTACACCTACAAATATATAACAATACAATATTACAAACATGAGGACATAGTGGATGCTTCCAGATGTCACCATCAGACCTGGGTACACCTACAAATATATAACAATACAATATCATAAACATGAGAACATAGTGGATGCTTCCAGATGTCACCATCAGACCTGGGTACACCTACAAATATATAACAATACAATATTACAAACATGAGAACATAGTGGATGCTTCCAGAGGTCACCATCAGACCTGGGTACACCTCCAAATATATAACAATACAATATTACAAACATGAGAACATAGTGGATGCTTCCAGATGTCACCATCAGACCTGGGTACACCTACAAATATATAACAATACAATATCATAAACATGAGAACATAGTGGATGCTTCCAGATGTCACCATCAGACCTGGGTACACCTACAAATATATAACAATACAATATTACAAACATGAGAACATAGTGGATGCTTCCAGAGGTCACCATCAGACCTGGGTACACCTCCAAATATATAACAATACAATATTACAAACATGAGAACATAGTGGATGCTTCCAGATGTCACCATCAGACCTGGGTACACCTACAAATATATAACAATACAATATTACAAACATGAGGACATAGTGGATGCTTCCAGAGGTCACCATCAGACCTGGGTACACCTACAAATATATAACAATACAATATCATAAACATGAGAACATAGTGGATGCTTCCAGAGGTCACCATCAGACCTGGGTACACCTACAAATATATAACAATACAATATTACAAACATGAGAACATAGTGGATGCTTCCAGAGGTCACCATCAGACCTGGGTACACCTACAAATATATAACAATACAATATTACAAACATGAGAACATAGTGGATGCTTCCAGAGGTCACCATCAGACCTGGGTACACCTACAAATATATAACAATACAATATTACAAACATGAGAACATAGTGGATGCTTCCAGATGTCACCATCAGACCTGGGTACACCTACAAATAATAACAATACAATATTACAAACATGAGAACATAGTGGATGCTTCCAGAGGTCACCATCAGACCTGGGTACACCTCCAAATATATAACAATACAATATTACAAACATGAGAACATAGTGGATGCTTCCAGATGTCACCATCAGACCTGGGTACACCTACAAATATATAACAATACAATATTACAAACATGAGGACATAGTGGATGCTTCCAGAGGTCACCATCAGACCTGGGTACACCTACAAATATATAACAATACAATATCATAAACATGAGAACATAGTGGATGCTTCCAGAGGTCACCATCAGACCTGGGTACACCTACAAATATATAACAATACAATATTACAAACATGAGAACATAGTGGATGCTTCCAGAGGTCACCATCAGACCTGGGTACACCTACAAATATATAACAATACAATATTACAAACATGAGAACATAGTGGATGCTTCCAGAGGTCACCATCAGACCTGGGTACACCTACAAATATATAACAATACAATATTACAAACATGAGAACATAGTGGATGCTTCCAGATGTCACCATCAGACCTGGGTACACCTACAAATAATAACAATACAATATCATAAACATATTGTTAATGCTGATTTGGGGAGAGCCTACAACTATTCTTTACCATTTTACCAGCTCTATAAGTAAAAGTGCTGGTAATTAATGAAAGGCAAATATGTCATGCCAACCCCATCACCCAATTAGGTAAAATTCAAATGGTGGGGTTGAGATGACATGGTACTAAATCAAATGATCAATTCATTCATATTTGCCAGTTTTATTTATAAAAAAGACATTTCCCTTCCTTAATTTAAAAAAAATCAATTGAATCAAAGGTCTACACACACGATGTGACATTTAATAAATAAAAAACATAAATAATATAAATGACTATTTTATGTTTCTAACTTACTGTTCCACCCACAATACGGCCAAGAGGGTACCATGCTCTTTCATCAAACCAGTTGAGGAAATCATAGAAGTTGGTTGCAACCATGTGATGGGTCGCCCTGTAGTTGAACCTGCAAAAATGTTATAATATAAATATAATGTTCCTGTTGTTATAGAAAGGGAAAAAGCGGATTTGCAAACCAGCAACTCATATATAAGTAACTTCATAAAAAATTCAAGTTCAAAAAAGTAAGTAAAATTATTGTTGAAATTCTACTGAAATCCGACTTGCTAATATCCTGAGTATCAGAGCTTAGAAAATTTGGCTCTTGATGTAAATATAGTCTTAATGTTGTTAAGAGTGTCATAATGAAATGAAGGCCACGCACTGAAGCTGAAAATTCAATAAATGCCATTTTGACCTGATTGGTCAAGGCAAGATCAAACGATCATCCCTAATTCAAACAATGACGATCACTTTTAAAGGAGCAAAATGAAAATATTGGAAAGGAAAACTCTCTAGTTATTCTTAGCCAGCCAGTCATATACATGTTATAAATGGCAAAATGTTCCAATCATATTGAAGACAATTGGGAAATAACACATTGACTTAAACTAGTTTGTCCAGTTTGTTATACATCCCTCCAAATCTTGCCATTTACTCAAATAGGTCACTCAAAAATCTACAAATGTGAGCTTGAGCTTGCATTATGGACCACCAGTAAGGGGTATAAAATTGTACGACCTTAAAATCCTAACAAGCTTACGATATTTAATTTAATGAATTGGTGGTAATTTTAAAAGAGCTGAAGAGATGAGCACTCCAGGGAGCATGTTAGCATTTGCAGTACATGTTTATAAGAACCTTTTTTAATTGCACAACGCAAAGCTAAATGTCATCCACATATTAAGTTATAAAAATGATATTATACACTAGAAGTACATAGCTTATTGACATATTTAAAAACAATTTTGTGTAAAAAAGCTCATGACTTCATGATTGTGTAATAAATCTTATTTTGATCATATCTAATTTTTGAAAAAGACGAATTAATTTAAGAAAATTTCTCAAAAAGGTGATACAGTATCATCTAATCGAGCCAAAATTTGGTTTCAAAGCTTATGAAATAATTCAGTTGTACGTTATTAAATTGAGTCGCAATACAGTTTAGCAATTTAAATATAACAAAACATCATAAGGTGATGTCATAAACATTATTTATAGAATGTATCTCATTTGCATAATATAACAACCTTCCACATCTGCTTGTAATTGATGAAGTGCATATGATGTAAAACTGCATAGGTCAGAAGTATAATAGTAGTTACATAAAGTTATACTCTCCTGCAGTGTTTTATAGACATCTTTAAAAAGATCAAGTGCAGAAATCAATTTTGAAAATAATGAATGTATTTTTTTGAGAAGCGAAGTCGAACGAATGCCAACGGTAATTACAAATGATTCATGTTATTTCACTCCATTTCCTCTGCATTGAGTTCATAGAGATTTAGAATGAAACTTACCTACATTTTAATGACCAAATGTTTTCGTACGTTTATAGCACACTGTATACTAGGATGAATGGAACAATGGCAATCTTGAAATGCAAAAACAGAACTTTTGAGGCAGAATTTGGTGATAAAGGAATATTTAAAGACACTGTGGAATTGTATTTTTTGGTCAAATCAATGTTTCCCAACAATTTTATAAACTTTGGGAGCAATGTAAAAATTCCCTTTTACAAGCCCAGCTGAATTAACAAGTGAAGGGAGCTCGGATATGAGCAACGAAGATGGGCAAAAGACCTGTTTACAAGGTATGTATCTTTCCAGACCCTTTGTCAAGCATGCTAATATATAAGCCTGTGGCATATTTGTGTAAAACAATAAAAGTCAACAAAACAACATATCTATAAACTAAATAAACAATCACATTCACCATTCATATCACAGCCCAGAAGACAATAAAACTAAATGATGCTAATTCAAGAAATAGAAAAAATAGTTCCATGATGTATTTTCAATATTAGTTGCAGTAAAATTTCAAGAATTCTATTTTGAGTTTTGTTCTGTTATGATGGTGATCCAGAAGTGACATCAAATGTGTTGCCATATCAACACTACTGGGCCATTCATCTTGAAACTTGGTACAGATGTTAAAGAGGGGAGAAAGCCCCAGAGCTTAAGAGTTAACAGTTATAATTTTGTCTATTGCGTACTACCTCTGTTTGCGCAACTTCTCACACGTTTTCAAAAATAACATGTTGCTGCGATGTTTTATTCGATGGAAACATATTCATTGCAGCTTTCTTTATCTTGAACCAAAATAACAAGCTATGATATTAAGCAAAATGGCAGAAATTAATATAATATTATTTGAAACGTGTTTCAAAAATTTTGAAACCGCCATTGCTTGTCTGTCGATTTGACCAATCAGGATGATATGTCTCCTCAATACAGATTTACATGTTAGACATATGTCTTCTTTGAACCCTGGGGTTATTCCACCCTGAGATGTAAAGAATAAAGCTTCGACAATTTGATTGATTCATTCCAAAGTTGCTATGGTAACCTGATGTGATGTCACCTGTGGAAATTGAACTTAGTGAGAGAAATAAAAGTCTTCTCTACTTTATAAACCTAAATGATTCATTTTATGTTGCCTTTCGAACGTCAATGTAGTATCACATATCTCTCAAAGCACCACAGCACACACGGCCATCCAGTAGTTATGTCAATATAGATACATTTTACAAGTGAAACTTACTTCGGTCCAAAGCCTTCTCTATATTCCGGCTTTGAGGAGGAAGATTGAGCTGCCTTAGTATTATAAATATTGTAAATCATTGTGTCACACGCACAGTAAATATGGCATAATAATATGAAATATACCTTTATGTATAGATTTGAAGAACATCAGCTCACATCCCCGTCTGAATCTATTGTTATATTTGATTTCTTTAAGCGAGAATAATTTCAAATGTTATTCACGTCCAGAACCGGAAGCCATTTTTAGCTACAGCGAGAAAATTTCACCATGTGTCGAACTCCGAAATGAAATTTTGAAATATCTAAATCCAGACAAGCAACGCTTCATCCTAAATATTATTAATATTCTTAAAAATATTTATAAAATTTATTAAAAATGAGTTCTAGGTGCGTGTAGGTGCGTGTAGCACAGTACATACGAAATCAACGAAGTTTCGTCTAGCTGTAAGCTAGAGACTCGAGTAAAGTGAAACCATTTAAATTGTCATAGAGGATTTAAAATTAGCGACCCATATGTTGACAGACGGATGGACAGGAAAGTTTGTGATAACAATAGGCCAAAACATGTGAGGTAAATTGTTAATAAATGTGTAATATCTTGAAGAAGGTTGATTTTGAATATAGCTAATGGCTTCAGTCGCCCTTCCTTCAATCATGGGCTTTGCTTCAATATTTGACATTGATATCCAGTTGCAAATGTATGCAAAGCATTTGCTTATAAATTGATAATCTTCCTTGACGACATGCTTGTAATTCGTAACAGAATTTATATTGTCATGAATATCAGTCATGTGACCAACAAAATGGTGACATTCATTTCCCCAAAATTTGAGGTTCAATATGCATCGGTATATTGCTATCTTCATTGTCTTATTTGACAAGAGTATCACAATGTAACATAGGGCGTTAAGGGACCTATCGCATACTGGGAAGTAGACATGTGGAGAATATCATATGTAAATAATTTTCTCCAGGAACTTCAGAGCCTCGGGATAAGTTGTGAATGAAATTGTAAGGATTATGTATTATATTCAGTTACAAAAGTCCAAATCTAATTGTTGCATATCAACACAATGATAACCAAGATTGAAAACATGTGCTTTCATAACCAATAAGTTTCTAATTTTGCAACACTTGATGAAATTATCCAAGATTTCTAGAATCTGGTCACAAAATTTTGCAGGAAAATGGATGCTCACCAAGGATCGAATTCATGGATGATGCTCTCGAATCTAATCACCGCAAACAATCTAGAGCTGAAGCCAGCAACACATGCTAAACTTAGAACGGCGAATGTGACCAAACTCAGCCATCCTGCGGGCTTTGTCAGTGAATTTCTAATATCGGTTTTGGAGCCGGTGTCAGCCATTGCTTCTTCTCCGAGGCAGCCACGTTTTGACGATTGACCAATCAGATTGCAGGATTTGTACGTGACACACCACAAGTTACCTTTTCAGCACTTTGGCGTAAAGTTGGAAACTTCTTGTCCTTTAGAACGTTTTGTAAGTATATTACTTCAATTTACAAAGTTTAAGTACGGGTATTTTACCAGACATATATTTTACTTATGATATGAAATACATATTTGATCTTATCTGATCTCACAAATGTAAATATGAATTTTTACAGTTGGGGACATAAATAAATGACAGGTGGATTTGCTGAAGTGAGGATTTCCCATGTTAAAAATAAGAGAATTTACAAGAGGCCATACATCAGTGGATGAGATTATACAAAATGTAAAATATACAAATTTTAAGGGATATATATCTAGACAATATTGGAAATTATGGGCTTTCAGACCACCATAATTAGGAAATGGTGATCGAAAATCGACCTGTCATTTATTTTTGTCCCCAACTGTAGTTGAATTCGATGCAAAAATTTCAAAATTTATCTGTTTCTGTATCTGTTAGTGTCAGGCCCGTAGACAGAGGGGCAGCTGGGGGAGCGGAAGCTCCCCCCTGGCCAGAAATTCTTTCAAAATCATACAGTTTTTCACCATTCTGAGAATTTTTCGCATGATTTTTAGCCAAAATTGTGAAAAAGCTCCCCCCCACTGGAAAAAAGCTCCCCCTCCTGGTAAAAGCTGGCTACGGGCAAGAGTGTTATATCTGTATATGTTTGAGATAATCAAACATACATAGCATGTTCTAACAAATAGACTCGTGAATTATGTTGCATACACGTACATACATACTCTCAAAAACAACAATTAGAAGATCGTATGGCCCTTGAAAACGAGCTCTATAAAGCCAGTACAAGGATCGTGCTCCTTTTTGCCCATAATAATTCGTAATTGTAATGATTTTATTGTTAAATTATGATTAGGGTTAGCATAGACTTATCAAAATCAAGTGTTTACAAGTATCTGGTTGAAATGTATAAGTGCTCTTCTGACTTTTCCATTTTTCCTGGTGTTGACTTCCGAGAAGGCGTTGTATTTATAGGAATAGACAGGGCTTTTTAAACAGGATACATGTTTTTTGGGCATTAAAACTAAAGCGTTAATCTTTTCAGTAAATTTCCAAATAAGTTTCAAGGAGATTTGCAGATGCTAGTAACATTTTCATTTTTTATATTTCCATAAGTTGAAATGGAAGATGGCGGGTTTACCGTAGTGAAGTATAAAAAGACTCGTCAACATATCCGGACATGTAGGCAGCATAGAATATCTGTTTCTGAAGATAACGATGCACTGGAGAATACTGATGTTAATAGAACAGCAATTATTAATAGACTTAATGAAGCAATATTACTTTTGGAATCATCAGCTTATTGTTCCAATTTGAAAAAGATGATCTCTGCTATGCTACAAGGTGATGGTACCCTTTGTGATGTCATGGAAATGGTGCTATATGGAGTTGGGAACTTCAGTAGTTGTCCAATCGCCCGCTATCAACTGGCTCTGTATACAATTCTTCATAGAGACTGCAATGTACCTCCAAACAAATGTTTTATATATGATCCAAAATTCTCTGATGTTGAATTCGATGTATTGAAAGAGCTTGGATACTGCATCATTGAGGAGAATGAGGAAGGCAAGAGAGAAACCAGTTGTCCAACATTGTTCTATATGCCACATTGTGGTAAAGTGCTCTATAACAACTTACTGTGGAAGAACTGGAACAGCAGGCAACTAACAGATATTATGATACTAGGCAATAGTTTCTCAAATATGAATGATTCTTTACCCAAGAAGGAATTCACTGATCATTATTCATATATTCAAAGGATATTACCATACACTGCTGAACTAAAGGTTGAAAATAATTTTGACCATGTTGATATCTTTAATGATACAAGTTTACATTATTTTAAAGAGAATGTGTTGAATTCTATTCCAAGGGAATTCTGGTTGAAAAATTCTGAACCAATTGTATCTGATGATGTTGAGATTATTCTCAAGAAATAGACTGATGGACTGATTGCATTGGGACACTTGAATCTTGAATCTTCCAATGGTATCAATATACAAAACTTGTGGCAATTTATGTTGGCTTTACATGCCTCCTTGAATATGCTAGATATATTACATGTACTGTAAACGGTTATGACATAAGGAAAATATATAAATACAATGTATAAACAACTGGTCACTGGAATGGTTACCCAAAAATGTTTTTAATTTAGTTATGATCTATAACATGCAGATCAATAGAGTGTAACTCCTTACCAAGACGATGGAAATTATTGATTGAAGGCCTCATTTTAAAGACTATGTCAGTGATTGATTGAAAACCTCATTTTTTCAAGATAATGTCAATGATTCATTGAATACCTCATTTCCAAGACTATTAGAGTCAATTATTGATTGAAGGCCTTATTTTTTACTATGCCAATGATTGACTGAATGCCTCAATTTTCTAGAAGATGTCAATGATTGATTGAAGGCCTCATTTTGCAAGGTAATATAAAGTTTGATTGAAGACCTCAATTTTATAATGCCAGTGATTGATTGAAGGCCTGGTTTTTAAGATAATGCCAAAGACTCATTGAATGCCTCTAGTTTCAAGACTAAGTCAATGACCAATTGATGTCCTCATTTTTTAAGACAATGTCAATAATTGATTGAAGGCCTCTTCAAGACTGACAGTGAATGATTAAAGGCCATATTTTCAAGATTATGTCAATGATTGATTGAAGACCTCATTTTTGAAGACAAAGTCAGTGATTGATTGAAGGTCTCATTTTTCAAGACTGTTAAACTAAGTCTCGTCTCATTTATGCAAAATAATCTCTACTTTGTGACACACCTACAATTCTACATTCATGTTGAAACCTATTTAATGATTGAAAATCCATCCTTGCTAGCACAAGATTCTTCTCTGAATCAGCCAGGGAGAAAAACACATGCAATAGTCCATAATATAATATGTTTGGCAGAAAATATATTATGTGAGTATATTCCTTCAGGTGGGCAGAGTAAATACATAAACCTAGTATAATCAACTTCTGGGCTTTCAATAGCAGGGGGCGAGAGTCCAAAATCGCCGTTTGTTTTCTATAATTCGCCGGTTGTCAGAAGCCAAATATTGTCTTTAGTTTTAGGGAGGGGGGGGAGATTAAAAAAGTCACATCATTTTATCAGTACTTATTGAACGCCCTGTACATTGTATACACACAGGTTGCATTCTATTCACACAGGTTGCATTCTATATTGAGTGTTCAACCCGGGAAGTGCATTTGAATTTGTAAAATGAAACCTGTGGAAGAGTAAATCATAATTTATTTTCATAAGAATATAAAAGGTAAAAATGGCATTCTATATGAGTTGCCCTAGTCATTTCACAGTTCAAGGTGTTATTTTGTGTAGCCCGTGTCTTGTGGTCAATTAAATTGACAATATCACACATGGAAATGACTTTGGAAAACCTGCAATACGTAAAATCTTTTAAATCACCTCTCAATAGGATTCAATGTTCAAAACTTTGAATGACTGTGCAATACTCTTGTATATGAGATCATGGGCTCTATCGTCTGAACTATATTCACAGGTGAATTGTTCATCCTTGCACTTTTGTGACATTTAGTATATTTTGCCTTTAATCTTACAAGAACAATAATATTAGTGGATTAGATCAAATTTAATTTCGACATTCCCTGTCCATTCATCCACTTTCAGTGCGCCGACGCTATAATAACACTGGTGCTCCCCTCGATTACGCTGGTTACCGAAACGGTTCGTTTTTGCAACAAAATGTCGGAACATCGAAGGTACGATTTTTCTTTTTTCCTTATTTCACACGTTGTAGGCAGAATTTCCACGACATCGTGTACGTGTATCAGTATCATATGTTTAAGAAAATGTACATATTTTTGAATAAATAGTTCAGAAGACAACAGAATCGTCTATACATAAACGGTTTTTCGAAAAACAGTTAAGATCTGCACTTTTAACCCAAACCGTTTATGTAACTTAAGTGAGGAATTAAATCGACGATTCTGTTGTCTTCTGACCTATTTTTTCACAAACATGTACATTTTCTAAAACATATGGTGCTGATACTAGTTTGTGAGAAAAAATGTCGTTGGGATTCTGCCTACAACGCGTGAAATAAGGAAAAAAGAAAAATCGTACCTTTGACGTTCCAACATTTTGTTACCAAAACGAACCGGTAACCAGCGTAATTGAGAGGATCACCAGTGAATAACAAGAATTTGCATTTTCGGGAGTGTAAAATTGGTTATTTTGAATGCCGCCCCTTGTATTTCTCATCTGCCTCTTGTAAAAAAAGTTACTGAAACCACTGAACTTTGATGTCTTACATGTAGTTTCTGATACTGATGTCAAATGTCACGATCAAATGTCCCTGTCTGATCCATAAAGGTTATATACTATACTAACAGTTGACTCAGCTAAATTTTAGTTCTGCTTTAAAAAGATAGATCCATTTATGGAATAAATTGATTTAATCAGTCATAATATTGCTTTGACATGTTAATGTTATTATTAAAGATTAATTCTAATTGAAGGATGAAGATGCTGTAAAAGTGACAAAAGTGACAAATCTAAAACTAGTACCAATGTCATCAACATGTCATGGTAACCAAACAACATGCCTAAGAATTCAATGCTCTAACAATCTGATATGACAAAATGGATGGCAGCAGAGTTGTTGTGGTTCTGCCAGCTGGAGGATGCAGCATGAGAATGAACACTGACACCCCTAAACAATACATGACCATCCTGAACAGACCGTTACTGAGTTATACAATAGAGGCATTTGAAAGGTAAATCCCAATTCAATGGTGTAGCCAAGCATGAGGCAGGGGAGGTAATTGCCTTCCAAAGGCCAAATGACTTAATGTTAAATGAACCTCTGTATGTAGGGCACCTTTTATGTGGAACACATTTTAGAGGTACTTAAGATGTTCCACTTATACAGGTTCTAGTGTATTAGTGTATGCCATACATACTTGAATCCAAATAAACACTGTTTTTTTGCTCTATGAGCTGATAAAAACGTGCGTTCTTGCTTCAATTTTAGGATATCTTGGGTTGAACAAATCATAGTGGTCACAGCTAAAGAGCAAATTGAGTTTGTGAATAAAGAAATCCTCCCCAAATATGGCCATAGCAAGACATGCATCACTGAAGGCGGTACTACAAGGCATCATTCCATATATAATGGTGTTAAACACATTGCTAGTGGTGAGTATTTAGAATTAATTTAATGTGCTATGATAATTCAGAGGCCCAATTCATAGGTTGAATCCTAACTGCCTAAGATACTTCTTTAAAAATCATTTCAACCTGTAATTTGAAATGTGACTTCAATACAAAACAATGTCTATCACAGAGTTAAAAATCTCTCTTTGTCAATGAATTTACTACATTTGAAAGTCTCATGTTCTTAACCAATTAAGGCAATAGGTATTGAATTTTTGTTAAGCTTTGCAGATATTTTCAGTTACAGGTTGCTGCACTTTTAGTGCACCAGTTGAACTCTTGTCCTTCATTTCTTAGAATATCACTGTATCTTTATTATCTCATCATTTTTATGAAATACTCTATGGTAACTTAATTTTTAAATGTTTTAGTGTTTGTTGGAAAGCCTGATATAGTTGTGGTACATGATGCAGTGAGACCATTTGTGGATGAACACCTTTTGGGAGAGTTGGTCAGTGAGGCCAAAAGACATGGGGTAATTTAGATTAACTGAAATATGCATGGTTAAAAAATATGCAGTTAAAAAGAAAGAATAATTTTATTTATTGATATGGATTTAACACTTCTTGAGCCACTTTATTTTATGTAAGCAAGTTTTGACATTCTAATAATTTTTGCTTAGGCATCTGCTGCTATCCGACCCTTGGTTTCCACAGTGATTGCTGTAAACAAAGAGGGATTTCTAGATGAATCCTTGGAGAGAAGCAAATACAGAGCCAGCGAGACACCACAAACTTTCCAGTATGACATCATCAAATCTGCCTATGAAAAGGTATTATAATGAGTATTTATTTTCAAAAATTGCTGTTGTGCACGATATAAATCATAGAATTCTAGACATTCAAAAACAAGTTTCAAACAAAATGAAAAGGATTCCTATCTTTGTTATCTCCCCATTATTATGTCACCATTAATTAAGAAGTAGATAAGCAGTTGGCATCTGTAAAAAATTGATTAACCTTTCTAACAATTCCAGTAATTTACCATTTTATCATGTTTGTGTCTTGTATTCTAGTGTTCCGACTATGACTTTGAGTTTGGAACAGAATGCCTCCACCTTGCCTTACAATATACTGGGACAAGTGCCAAGCTGGTAGAGGGCTCTTCAGATCTCTGGAAGGTAAGATAACCATTAGATAGAAACAACATTGTGAATATGAACCTGCTTCTTCTCACTTAAAGAGGTATTCCTTGCCAGAGTATTTCTTTCCTAATATGGTAGCAGTAACCATGTATATACTTTCAATATTTAGAAAAACATAGAAGAATGTTTTGATAAGGTCAGTATTGATCATTTAAAAATGTAGTCTGCCATCTTTTAAGATTTCACACAGGAAGTGATGTCATCAACTCTCTTATTTGGAAAATCTACTTTCCATGATGTTGCTGTTTCCTCCCTTATTTAAGTATGGTTACAATGTATTCGTCTCATATTCCAGGTTACATATAAGAAAGACTTCTATGCAGCTGAGGGTATATTAAAAGGTAATATGTATGACTTTCATCTAAACTTACTACATGTAATTGCATTATAAATGAATATACTTGTATATGTACACTTGTTTAGTTATTTTTATTCAATCTGTGCCCTGGAATGACAACTGAGTCTTTGATGATAGGTTTGGAAGTTTTATAATCCCTACATTTGTAAAAAGAAAAATTGAAAACTTGTTATGCTAGACCATTGTAGGATTGACATTTTATCTTGTTTTTAGAAAGAAGCACAAGTGTTAGGTTGCTATATAAGAATGAAGAGAGCATTGCATGTACAGTACACAGTGCCCTGGAGGCTGCTGGAATAAAGGTATGAGTGTATTATCACAGAAGCCAAGTGCAAGTGCACTTTGGTCACTTGATTTGAGTACATTATATAGTTTTACTTAGTTTGCATAAACAGCTCGATATTCCCAGCCCATGCTAAAGGTCTTTTCCAGAAATGTTAGAAATTGTGGAAACACTTACACTACTTCAATCGATGTATAACATCATAAAGTATCATTGAAATAATTGTAGAATGCTAACTGGAGTCGGGAGACGGTGTAATTGACGAAAAATGTATTTGGAACTTGTTGTTATTTTCCATGTCGTCTGACCAGGAAGTCTTGCCAATGCGCATGCGTGTAACCGGAAGCGGAAATCTCATGACATGGAGGCGCATGCGCATTACCAAACTTCCTGAGAAGCCATCTTGGAAATTATCGTCTCTTCAACATTTTTCGTCAATTACGCTGTCTCCCGACTCCGGTTAGCCTGATATGGTTAGAAAAACTTTATTTTAGAATGTTATGCATCAATTGAAGTAGGGTAAATGTTTCCAAGATTTCTTACATTATTTCCAAAAGGCCTTTATAAAGGAATGGGAATATAGAGTTTTGCATAGCCATCTATCTAAAAGGTGGCTATGTGCAAATATAGTAAATATAGTACAGATTATACCTTTGTATAGTATATACAATATACATATATAGAGATTATCCTATACGAGGTTCAGGATATTGGGATTATCCCGAGGCCAATATAATATATCTGCCCGAGGGCCGTAGGCCCCGAGGGTAGATGTAATATATTGGCCAAGGGATAATCCCAATATCCTGAACCGACTATAGGATGATCTGTTTATCCCATACTTATCACATTGTTCAATTGGCCAAAGTTCGGAAACTTTGCTATCCGTGTAATTATTTTAAAATATTCATGTCCAGTTTTGTATTCTTGTCCGTAGCCGGGTTTTCCTGTTCAAATCTTTGATAATTAACGGGGCATACTGCTTCTTCCCTTCGTTTATGCATCAAACAGATCGCGATTGTCTGCGTTTTACTCCATTGTCGTTTACAGTATGCGAACGTTACAAAAAGAACCAATACGGGAACAGCGATTATATGACGTAGCGGGCAAATATACTATATCTGCCCGCTCGGAGCGGGACGTAAAGCTATATCTGCCCGCTGATGAAAATATAAGTTTTTACGAACCGGCTTTATGTACCCGTAACACGTCCAAGTATGGGATAAATATATATATATTGTAATACATTGGTACAAGTATACCTGTCAGGGGCCTTGGTAGGATTTCTCAAGGGGGTGCATGAGGCAAGTTTTTCAGATTAATGAGGCAACATTTTTCTGTTGGGAGTACACTATGGCATTAGTACACTTTGGCATTAGTACACTTTAGAATGGCAAATGTTTGGAACGGGAAATATTTTGATAGGACTACACCTTAATAACTGTATACACTGTTTATATGTAAGTCAATTGATATTTTCCATACATGTTTTACATGATTGCACACATTTTCCAGACAAACAAGGAAATAATCTCCAACAATGACATATCTACAATGACACATAATTGTTTGGTTCTCGTCCATGATGTCAACACAGCAATGGACACAATAAAACAACTACATAATACTGAGGGCCAAAGGGTCACTGCGAACTGTGGAAGTATTATCATTCATGTGCTTCAGATAGCTGCAACTTCTGAACGTTTTAGTTTACATAGAAAATTCCAAAATCTCATGAGGGAATGTAGCAGAGAGACGAGAGATACCTGTGTCAATGGAGTACTGTTCGAGGTATGTTTAGAGGTAGTGTATGGTAGTATTGTTGTATGGTCATGGGATAAAGTTCTCTGCATGTAAAATATGGTAACTTTTAACATATAGATATAAATGAAGTTATAGATAAGGTAGTTGTGATCTGACGTCTCTCATGAGGTAACTCATATCCGATATTAGTAGCAGGCAGATTTCTTCATTTGTTATCAAAATTTCCTCTTGGTTTTAGGATTTATATGTTAAAATAGACTAGATGTAGTTGGAGTATTATATAATCTTGACGTTAATCATGAAATATTCAAAGATCTGCATAACAAAGTTGCATCTAGAAATGTGGTTTTAAAAATAAATTTTTCGGTTGGGTAGATTTCCCAGAGGCCAAAAGATAAAATCATAATAACCGAAATATCTTTTGTTGTTTTGAACAGGTAAAATTTATTTAGTTTACTGAATGTATTTTAAATTGTATACGAGTAATAATTATCAAGCTCAAAAATTAGATGAAATTGCTCATCTGAATCTATTTATTATTCAAGTTCAGGGGAACCTTTTCCATGTGTGCCAGACCCATTTTAAGTAGCCACCAGGACCAGGTGATGAAACTGTCAACTATGTTCTAGCAATCTTAACATATTGTATTTCCAGGGCTCCAGCATGGAAGACAAAATGTGTGCAATAATACAGAACTTAATCAGGGACAGGAACATAGTATTCACTGGGCAAGTCTTCCTGGTTGGAGAGATATGAAACAATACTTTGCAATAATACAGAACTTAATCAGGGACAGGAACATAGTATTCACTGGGCAAGTCTTCCTGGTTGGAGAGATATGAAACATTATCCTACACTTAGTGTACTAAATGTATAATAACATTAAAAAATAAATTTGATATTTATGGGCAAAATGAATATCCGGAGGATATCGTCACGATATACTCCGGGTGGAGGATATCGTGACGATATACTCCGGAAAACCTGATATGCGGAGGATATTGTGACGATATACTCCGCTTGTTGATTTCCCGCCAAATTGACTCTATTTGGCATGAAATTCATTTTGCAATGATATTATACATTTAGTACACTCCTTGTAAGTGTAGGATAATAAGAACATCCTATGATTTTTTTCAGAATATCATTTTAATCTACTCGGTGATATTGATATACATGATATATGCACTTGTTCGCTTCGCTCTCTCGTGCAGATATCAATATCACCTCGTAGATAAAAATGATATTCCTCAAAATCATAGGATATCCTATAAATACTTGGAATGATTCTTTACATTTCTGACAAAACAATAAATAGAATGTCACCATAATGGCTGGAAGGGATAATGAGTCATTGACTCATTAACATGCAAAATGTCACCACCTGCCATTTGTTACAGATGTGGTGGTGACATAAAAAATAGTCCATGGTCAAAGTGTCCTGTCAATATGACAAAGTGAAAAACTTGTCTCCCACAATAAATAGAGACTTTGTAAATGAGAATATAAATTTGTGAACAACACAGATCTTCATGGACTCATGAAATATACTGTACATTCTCAAATCACTAAAAGTGCATGTAGATTTCAATAAGGTATAATTTATGAAATGACTGTAATCAGGATTTGACAATACTAGCACTACTAGATATAGTACTTATTAACTATCTAGAAATGACTTAAATAATGGAAAAGACAGAAACCCCCTTTTCAGAAAATTGGTATGTTGAAGGTTTTTGGATGAATTTAATGTGAGAGCATACATTAGAATCCGTCTACAAAGCACAAAGGATTCCACCAAAATTGTAAAAGTAATTGAAAGATAAGAGTAGAATTTTTGGGTCACAACTCTGTACAATATAAATATTACATAACAAAATATGTATATTTAACATGATTTCAATAAAGCTTTATTTCATTATATAATTGTCAACACTGAATTCAGTTGTTATTGCCACATACAAAAACACTGTTATTGCAACTAAAAAGCTCTTTTATTAATACATCTTCTATATTTTCTGATAAGCCATTTTGTTATATCGCCTAGGCTGTAATTAGGAAAGTATTTTCAAAATAATGCCCATTGGAGTTTATTTTGAGGGAAAATACCACATTTTTTGTGAGCAAGTTATGAAAAACTTTCAAATTAATTCCTTTGGGGATTTACTTAACGTGGAAATATACCAGGAGTTATGTCTTACTTTAGTTCAGAAGGTGTTATGAGCAGAAAATTTGATATCAGTTATTATATCGTGCCAACTTTTTTCAAATAAAAAGGAAAATGTTTTACAAAACATATTCAATAAAATATATTCAACTATGATTTCATTGGCAAAATGATTGAATTAACCCTTTCACGACTATAGGCTCAATATGGAGCCCCATTATTTAATACCTTTCAGGACGATTGGCTCCTTTTGACACCATTATTTTTATTTCTATACAGTACATCAATGAAATGACAATCTCCTGTTCTTTTCAATATTTTTACACCAAATTTTCACAAGCTGTTGAAATGTGATAATCCTTTTCAGAAATAATATTTAAGTGATAAAATTTAAAACATAGGTCCTGGGATATAGTTTATTTGCAGTTTTCCCTAAAAACAGCTCTTACTTATCTGTCACCAGGACAACATTTTCCTCTTATATTTACATCGGGAAAGGGTTAATAAATAAACATGGCAAGAAGCAATTACATGTAAACATGTGTTTGTGAACACACCAAAGTGAAAACCTGAACATTTTATGTGTGATCTTTGTATATTCCATCTACTCCCATGTTATTGCAACCTCTCATATTAGTATTTCTATGTGAACAATTCAGTCACTGATGCTACATTGCATGTTCACTTTAACTGGTTTAGCGTATAACCTATAGAGTTAGTCTCTTTACAAAAATTGTGCAAGTGTATATCAGTCAGCTGTTAATAAATGCACAATGTACAGGGTGTTCAAAAAAAAACGCAACCCAAAGAAATCGCTATATCTTGGGAAATACTAATGCAATTATGTTCATTTTTTCAGGAAAGAAAGAAGAGACTGTGTATGTATAGCTCCTGTAGTTGGAAAGTTATAAAACTTGATGCCTTAGACACCTGCTCAAAAGACATTAGTATTGGAAAGATACGAAAAACGCAGTCAGGCGTGACTGCCAGAGCAATAAAACTGAATAACTTTATAATCATAGTGTTTTAGCTCTTCAAATTTGGCACAAATCATCTTCATTCAAAGTATGGTAAATCTGTAGAGTGAAATCAAAATCACTCCAGGGACTTCACAGTTATGGTCGAAATGAATGAGGATAATTTGTGCCAAATCTGAAGTGCCAGAACACTATGGTTAGAAAGTTATTCAGTTTTATTGCTGTGGCAGTCACCTTTGACTGCATTTTTCGTATCTTTCTCATTCTAATGTCTTTTGAGCAGGCGTCCAAGGCTTCAAGTGTTACAACTAAATAATTACAGGAGCTATACAAGCACAGTCTCTTCTTTCTTTCCTGAAAAAATGAGTGCAATTGGATAAGTATTTTCCAAGATATAGCGATTTCTTTGGGTTGCATTTTTTTTGAACACCCTGTGGAATAGACTACACTATCTTCCTAAACTTTATGCTGGATTATCTGAATTTTTAACTTTCATAAGCATATTTCTTTGTTGTAACCTTGCTTTCAAATATATGACTCGAGCCAGGTTTATTAATTTTTGAATGGCTTAATCTCATATTTGCAGTCTAAACATTGAGATTATTCTCAGCAATGTAATACTTCTGGTTTAAAAAAAATGTCACAAAACATTAAAACTAAAAATATACAAAATCAGTATTTTTGCAAACATGTCATGGTACAATACTCTATGCTGGAATATAATCCAAAAATATTTGAACATCAAACAGCATAATGTTCCAAACTAAGACAATACATATTATTTTTCTGCATCCATCTTCCCATTTAAAATAAATTTGGCATACATGTAAGGTCTTTGTTATTAAAATATACAGTGAGATTCTCATGTATTTCATCAGGTAAGAACAATAAAAATAAATGCAAACCATAAAATTTAACTTCTTTTACCTCACTCTTCAGTACTCTAAACTTCATATTTTCAGACAATATTTCTTCAGTTCATCATAATACGTTTGATTTTCTTTTATACACTCATGAACCTCTGTTGGCATTTCATCCAAATTAATGACATCTTCAAGTTGATCAGCAGTTTTAAAGCCATTACTCTTTACTAGTTCACCATGCCAACCTGGGTATTTGTGCCATGTAGTACCCTCTACTGGGCCCGCATCCCAATGTAACATTTTCGGGGAATATTCAAGTCCAGTTTTTTCACAGTACTGCTTCATTACAGCTTCTGCAATCAAGAAAGTTTAATTTATTTTCATTTTTGGAGAGTTTATCTTGAGAAGATATTTCAAAATTCTTTGAGGGGGAATACTCAAGTCCAGTTTTTTCACAGTACTGCTTCATTACAGCTTCTGCAATCAAGAAAGTTTAATTTATTTTCATTTTTGGAGGGTTTATCTTGAGAAGATATTTCAAAATTCCTTGTACAAACTGGAAAATGTTGAGATATCCCTAACATTTAATAAGTGAAATAAGAATTTTCTCTTTATTTCATATCTAAGACAGTTATTTAATCTAGCACATCCAGTACCTCAGATTGCTAAGGCCATGAAAGCTACATTTAATAATGTAACGACTTTCAGCATTAAAACTGTAAAATAATATGGAATGCTCAGAGGGTTGTTCAGCCAACCCAAAGAAAGCCAGGGTAGATTTTCAAAGCATTATGAATTGTATTTACCTGGATTATCTAGGAGGTCCTTAGTGTTGATAATAACAGGAGTGCTGCCTTGCTGTTCTTTCACTAAGTGGAATAACTGATGTATTGGTTCAAAGCTTGCCTCCATAGGGTCAAAATAATCAGTCCCTGAAAATGAAGTGAAGGATAAAAATGGTCAATCCCTAAAAATGAAATGAAAGGATCACCAAGGTCAATCCCTGAATTGGTGAGAATAAATATACCAAAGGGAACAAGGGGATGGAGAGTTACGGGATTATATGCAGTTGTTAATTTATTAAAACACAACTAGAAAAACAGCAACTCCACGGAGTAGCAAATCCCACCGAACAAAACATATTATGCTTATTATAGCTAGTGTAAATGTTGAAATGTGAGTGCACTTTGTGATAGAAGCATGAAATTCGGCACAAAGTTAGTTTATACCATTGTGAACTAGGCATCATCATATAAAATTTGAACCAAATCCGTTCACTGGTATATGAGTTATCAAAGATTACGTTTTTTACGAAAAACAGCCGCCATCTTGAAATTTAGCCGCCATCTTGAAAATTATTTCTTGAACAGAGCTACTGTGTCCCTAGGCATAATCATATAAAATTTCAACCAAATCTGTTCACTGGTATTTGAGTTATCAAAGATTACATTTTTTATGAAAAATTGCCGCCATTTTGAAATTAAGTGGCCATCTTAAAAATTTTGTGTCAAACATAGCTGCTGTGTCCCTAAGCATCATCATATAAAATTTGAACCAAATCCGTTCACTGGTATTTGAGTTATCAAAGATTACATATTTTTACGAAAAATGGCCGCCATTTTGAAATTAAGTGGCCATCTTGAAAATCTCTTTTTGTGCGAAACTCCTTAGTCCCTAGGCATCAGCATATAAAATTTGAACCAAATCCGTCAACTTGTATTTGAGTTATCAACGATTACATTTTTTACGAAAATGGTGGCCATTTTAAAATGAGCGGCCATATTGAAAATTCCTTCTCGAGCAGAGGTCCTACACTCATAAGGCATAAGCCTATAAAATTTGAACCAAATCCGTCAACCGGTATTGGAGTTATCGCCCGTACACACGGACGGACGGACGGCTTCTCTATATCCCCCTCGAACTTCGTTCGGTGGGATAATGACAAATACTATGTATACAATTATTAACCTATCCAGAGGTGAACTGTAAAAATTATATTCCAAACGGATGACTGTTTAAAATGGATGGATGATCTTCTTACATTCACATACTGGATCCAACTTACTGAAAAGACCAGGAGATTTCGATTATTGAACCTTTTTTTCTTTGAATCATGAACCCCAGAGGTAAGGCTGAAGGTTGCTAATGGGAGAATGTAACTTTAGCTGACTTTCATTGCCTCTGATATCTCTAGACTATTACTGGTAACGTTAAATATTTTATTCGTCTATGAATGTGAGATGTGTCCTTGTGCCATCCTCATGCTGCCAATCTAGGGGCTCAGGTAGCTCATACAATACTGATAGCCTTTCATCATACACATGTTTGACACGTTTGAATGAGTCTAACAAGGAGTGGTATAAATTATCACCAATTGAGCTATTGCTTTGAAAGTCATCAAGTCGAGTCTTCCACAATGATGCAGATTCCAATTTTCCAACTTCATCAAGCAAGGCAGCAGTGTTTGGGAAGTCATCATCCAGTAGTTTCTGCCACCATTGTGTGTCACTGCTGTGTTTGACATGTTTCAACATCCACAGTAGTTCAGTCAGTTCCTCGCAGTTGCGATAACTATTCAAAACATGTACCTTCCTAGCAGGGTAATATGTATCTGGAAGAAAAACTGGCTTTCTATATAGTCTGTATTGATCTGAAACATCATTATCTCTTCTATATTGATTGAATATGTATTCTACTACATCTTCAAAACATCTTCCTACATAAAAGTCAGATCCTGTGCAACATTTCCGATGCTGCATAATGAGCAGTTTGTATGAGTAGGATGAGATGAGACCATACTCTGGGCACTTATGGTAGATGTGCCAGTAGATCGTGTTATAGAGATGTGAAACGTATTTCAGTAAAAGAAAAAGCTGTTTATGATGTCCAGTAGGTATGTGTAACAAGTGATCAGGGGCTGGGTATGGGGGCTGCACTATTGATTCAGTCCAGTGGATATGCTCAGGACACTCATCACAATCATCCGGGTCTACATATGCAGGTACCAATATAGATCCCTGGGTTTTCTGTGCACAAAAGCATAGATCTATATCTGTAGTACCTAATGGTCCTCCCACCCTCAGCCACACACTAGGACCATGTAGACCGACATGCATGGAGAATTTCCCCAGTGTGTAGCTAGGGTGCTGTTCTTCCTTATGATCTCTCTTGCCAATGTAATGTGAACCATGAATGTCCTCAAGGTAGGTGTGAATTGCATCTCGGAGACTGTATCTTATGTTTGTTGTCAACCAGTAGACATCACCAGAACTATGAGGATCATGTGAGGAATGAGGAATTACATTTTCCACATGTTTTGTGACTGGGATTTCAAGAAACTGTTGCTGCACTTGTCCAGGGTGAATATTAACAACTCCATATCCTCCTGTCATCAAACAGCCATCTCTAACATCGCATACTTGAACTGAGGCATCATCAGACTGAGATAGTATATTTAGAAAGTCATACTCTGTTGGACTGATGATCTTTGTTTTTTCAAAGTAACTACCTCTGGGGATTGGGTCCTTGGTCTTGAATAGTTTATTGTACTCCCCGAAACCCAAACATATTGTCCTGACAAAGTTCCTAATGTATTCTGTATGGTGTTCTAACTGTGCCTCTGTGTACTTATTAAGAATGTCCGCTTTCGCAGCTGTGACAAATTCTGTCAGTCTTGCATGACCTGGATGAATTGTTTTGTATTTTCCAGAAGTACCAAATGTTGCCCTTGCCATTGCCATTTAGTCTAATCACGAAGCGCTGCATGTAGTTACTTTTAAACTACTGAACTTTGAGCTCTGAGACAGCTCAGTTATCTAACTATAAGTGGAAAATACAAATTCAATTTTAGAGATAAATAACATAAAACTTTAATCTCAAGTAGACTGAGACAAACTGGATAAACACATGACGAAGAACTAGTACATGTTATTGACATTGTTCTTAAGAGTTAATTTTCAACTTAGGAACAAAGTGAAAACCTCCACATATGATCAGTTCACCCTGCCCTGTGAATTGAGAGCCAATGTTTTTGCCCATGAAAAGGATAAAAACATCGCAATAACCCCATTACTCCCTACGGCAGGGGGGTGAGGGTAGGCAAAAATTATTTTGAAACCAATTTGTTTCTTTGTATGTTTTTATCAATGTATGTTATTCCCTACTGATTTTCAGTCCAATGTTAAAGCCTAGCCAGAGGCATTATGTTCATTATTTTGAGAACATTTAAATCAATTTCTGCCTTTCATACTTTGTATCTGCAGTATAATGATTTAGACTTGATCAGCAAGTCAGATGTTTTTGCTAACCTACTCTATACTGATCTATTCATACCTGATTATAAGTACATTATTTTGACATATCAAAGGTGTTCCACTTACACAGGTTACACTGAACTGTTAAAGTGGCTTATTACGATGTTTATTTTTTCGTGAAGTTTACTCAGAAAAATTACGATTTCTCTGCACCATTTGTTCAATCAAAATCATAGGAGTACCTATTTGTTCCTGGCACGTTTGGGAATCCGGGAAAGACAACATCTACCCATATTCTTTCAGAATTGCTTAATATAACTACAGTGTATTTCCAAAAATGTTCCCGAGATATTAATCCATTTAGGTAAGGGTTTGTTTTAAAGTCAGAAAGCCCCGATGAGACAATACAACCCCAGAGAAAACCCGGAAGTCTGCAGATTTCATAATGCAATGTTTTATGTTCATGTAGTACATCATAGCACATCTAATCCCCATATAAAACACTGGCCTACGTGACATGTACTACCATGTTCAAACTGTAATATAGAACCTTTTCAACATGGCAATTGCTTCCATGTTCTGTATACCCCTCTAACTGCTTAGTAAGGCAATGTTTCTTCAAATAAAACCTTAGCCAAGTAGATTAGAGTCCAAGGTACACTTTTGTAAATGGTTTTCACAAACAATTTTGTTTATGTATCTCAGATTTTGTCTTCCCAATTTCAGTCATAAATAACGTCAATATAGCATGCAGACTTTGGGTAGATGTTGTCATTCCCGGATGCCCAAACGTGGCAATAACACATAGGTACTCAAATGATATTGATTGAACATCACGGTGCAGAGAAATTGTAATTTTACAGAGTGGCTTCACGAAAAAATATAAATATATAGTTATAAACATGATTATAAGCCACCTTAAACAACTTGTATTCCTCCAGTCATGGAATGTCTTTTCAATCAAGATGAGTGTGGAACCAATGGACCACTAATATCTCCAGTTGACAAATGGAATAACACAGTATCATAATTAAAGGATCCAAATAAGCGATTACAGTTATTGAATCATACATCTTTGAATACTGCATAAGAAGTAATGTTCCTAAAGGAAACAATATTCACAACAATGGAATCATAGCATGCAAACAAAGTGGGTGCTGCCCTTGACTAAACTTAAACAATGAAATTCAATGAAAAATTATCTTATTATCTAGTAAATGTTCCTAGCCTTGAAAATGAGACACTATGGGCATAATTTAGGAACATATTGTTCTCAAAACATTTATGCTTACCCCTATCCCATGCTTTGGTGGCAGGGGGTTATTATGATATACAGGGCGTATAAAAAAACGCAACAAGCAGTTATCTCGTAAAATCACAAAACTAGTGATGACTACATCAATTTCATTCAATGTACCATAGAGCCACATCCCTCTTCTCTGCAATGATATGTCATTCATTACATGTGGTCATGGTTGGACGAAAAATCCTTCCATTTGCACAGTGAGTCAAAGTCGGCTCAAGTTTCAGATATTGCAAAAGTCATTGCAAGGGCTAAGTGCTAATGGAAGTCCTCCTGACCTGACTTTTTCTTTTGGAGCTATCTCAGGAGCAGAGTGTTAACCGTTTCTCCACCAGATATTGCAAATGTTTGAGAAAGAATTGCCTTAATGGGCTGCTGTTCTCCGCCTTAACCCACAGATGATTCAAGGCTAAACCATGCATGACATGGAGAGATGAGCACATCTTTGTGTGCAAAGAAGTGGTGGCAATTTGGAGGGGTATAGGATGTATTCTTGCAAGAGTCTGAGTATGAACACTTTACTGTCTATGCCACACCTGTCACACCTATTTCCAATAGTCCTTATGCCCTGTGCACTTTTACAGTGTTTAAAACTTGGGTCTGAGCTGAATTTTGTCCCACTTGGCGAAATTAATGATTATTCGGCCATCCATGACTCCGTGTGAATGAATGACATTCCATTGCAAAGAGGTGTAATTTGGCTTTTTGGTACATTAAATGAAAAGGATGCAGTCATCATTGGTTATATATTTTCTTCCAATATTGCATCGGGTCCCGTACACTGACTTTTGCGATGTTAATAACTTGGTCCAAAGCTAATTTTGGCCCACTTTGCAATTGGAATGATTACTCGCTCCAAACATGACCCAATATCAACGAATGATATACCATTGGAAAGAGGAGACACAATAACAATTTGTTGCGTTTTTTTTGATACGCACTGTATTGGCCATGGACAACATTTTGGTTCTGGCTCTTAAATTGTAGGGAAATCCTCATGATATGTTGAAAGTATCAAACTTCCTTCATTGAATGAACTATTACAAACAAATTCTGCTAAATATTCAATGAAATTCAACTCACCATTTCTTTCTTTATCTGTGAGACACTTGTAGAGGGAGGGTACCGTGATTGAGGGTTCTCTGATAATAAAAGTGTGCCGGTAACCAGAGGGAATGTTCTCCCATTTGTCAACTAAATCTCCAAGATACATTGCCATCTCCTTTGCAAATATGATTTCAAAATCTGGAATAAATATCATCAAACTGTACAAGTAATTAAATTATGTAAGAATAGAAAAGGGTAACATTTCAGAAGAAAAAGTAAAGTGAAATGAGTTTACTAAATGAAACTAACATTTGTTTTGGACAGAAGTAATTTTGTTTGAGTTATAAAGAGCCCATTTTTGTAACCTAAAATCAAAGTAAGTGTAAATCACTGGGTTTTTGTTTCAATTCTTAATGAACTTTTAAAATAGGCAGAAATGAAGCAAATGGAACTGGTTCTCATTTCTTGTTAAATCCTGTTGGCAACAATCAAATACTTTGACCTAGCTCATAATATATCATGTCTGACAGAAATATGGACGAAGTTTCTGGTACAGTTTTGCCAGATCTCTGTTATAGACCGGTGTTGTTTGAAAGCTCATTCAGAATTTTACCTGGGTACTCTTCCTCATAAATTTCTTTAGTTTCCTTGTATGTAAAGCACTCTGAAAAGGTGTCGGACACGTCGTCATAGCGCTTAGATTTCCTCTCCTCACCAACATAGAATGGCTTAAAGTACTTCTCATTAAGATACTAAAAGTAAAAAAAATTAATTTGTAGCTGTATTTAGCTAAGCATACAATGTAACATAGAGGAATCAGAACATTTGTCATCAATGGGGGATTAAGCCACAATTACTCAGATGACAAACTACACAGTTAAACCTGTCTTAATAAACACACTTCTCTAGTGAACATCTATCTCTAGTGGAACCCTTCTCCAACACATATTTTATTGATATCTGTATATATTACCCCCTCTCCTTGTAGTGAACAAATACTGAATGTTTTTTCTTGGCAAAAAAATGTTCAATATACACAGGTTTTACTGTATTTCAAACGAACATGTCTGTCTTGACACGGTACCAATGGTCTTATGAACTCACTCAATGGATCTTGATTATCTGGGTGGTTGGTTCTTGGGGAAAGGTTATACTTGAAAAAGGAATGTCCCAGAAAGGAAAGACTTAACTAACCTGAACTTTCTTCAATGTCACTATGGATCTTGCGAATGCCGTAGAACAGGTGCGGGGAATACACCAAAGGATTATTCTTTTTTGACCTCCCATATTCTCCAGTTTAACTATAAACTAAATATTAAAGATAATTATTCAATTGGAGATATTTAAGAAAGGTGAGAACGTCATGATATTATGGATGCTTTTTTGATCTTCACATCTCCACTTGGTGTCATCTTACCTTTTGCCAAGACCATTTACATTATATCTTATATAACTCCAAAACTTTTCTGATCAGTTCTGACCTGTCATCATCTTTTTATGTCTACTGAACTTTGAGGTAATCTGAACCCAATTGATAGCCAAAAGGTGTTAGTTGCACGTAGACCTACACTGGTTACAGCCATTACCTCCGCATTTAAGATGGCTGACAGGAAGTGTCCATTTCTATATTTTGCTTTGATATTTGAACTAAATCAAGACTTATATGACATGGAAACTCTTGAGTATGATCATTTGTTTCTATATATTGTGCATGGGTGCCACAGTTCAATGATACTTTCACCACTTGAGGTAAGGCAACTGGAAATCTATGATACATTAATAGTCTTGAAACCAAAATTCCCCTTAGCGGTGGAAGATGTCACTAAACTGTGGCGCCTATGCATAATACATAAATACATGTATATGAACAACTGATTATACTCCAAAGTATCCATGTCTTATAACCAGGCCATCCAACTGTCCCGCAATTTGCGTATTTGTCACGCATTTGCTGGAAAATTTGAAGTCACACAAGTTTTTTGCGTGACAGAATATGTCAAGCAAATACGCATTTTACCTGATTATTGTCAAGCAAAAATATTCCGATTCCATCTGGAACACCGTGAACTCTTGTAAAATCTTCAGCCGTCGTTCAATAAATGTATGTAATATTCTAAAAATCGTTCTGTTTATATTTCATGAATTGAAATGGTAACGGCTTGTCTTGTTGATGAGATATTGAACGTTTTCATTTAAAATAGATGTCGTCTCGTTCTCCATTTTGATAGCATGCCTTTTTTCCGCTATAGCGATTTGGTCAAGATGGCCGCTTGTTGTAAAATATTTCTTTCAGTTTTATTTTAATTCTTTTGTGAATAAATATCCTGCGAAGTAGACAAATGTATGAACTAGCGCTGCGTGAAAAGATCAATGAAGGTGACTTTATTATGTTTACATCAATAAAAATAAGACGGCTGGGAAATTTAAAGGCAAATTCAAAACAACAAAGAGTGTCTTATTTATATTCTATGGCCACACCAAAATTTGAAGAAAGGTGTTCAACATTTGTAAGTCATGTTAGGTGTTCCCAAGATGACACGCCTGCATAACCCTGATACTGACTAGTGACCAAGATGAATTTAAAAACCTGAACCTGTTACTGTGTCACTGTAAATTACTGTACTACCCCCCCCCCCCTCATCACATGCAAAAAGCATGATTTTTCATAGGGAATTTTCAAAAATTACAAATTACGAATAAAAGAAAGTATGAAATTGTTAATGATAGCCAATATGCGGGGAATCATCCTTGTATATTATACTATACCATGTATTTTTATTAGATCATGTCACCGTTTGGTGAATTGGTATGCAGTAAAAATGTAAAGTGTTAAAATGTAATTACATTTCTCACCTTTATTTTGAATATAGTCTCTAACCCAAACGTTTATCTCATTCCTATGTTGATTTTATCACTAATTCTTTTTATTAATAACATTTATACATCACAAAACAGAACAATTAATTTTTTCAAACCATATTCCATAATATTATGTTCAATGATTTGATTAATCAATATAATATTGTATCACGTTTTATCATAATTTTCGCGCCATCTAGGAGTGCGCAGTTGAATTACATTTTGTCAACAAAGAAAGTTAATCAATACGCAAATCTCCACTTCGAACAGATATTTCGGGACAACGTTACGATACATTTCGATCACATATACCATAAGGCGTGTATCAATTATTCAGGTATATACTCTATTGATATTTATCCCGAAAGTGACCTGTATGTTCAAGTGAACTGTGTTTAAAAATATTCATTAAAATTTTATTGATTTTGAAACTTTCAATGAAAGTGCTGAAATGATTGAATATATAAACTAGTGTCTAACAGGGGCGGATCTGGGAACCAACAAGGGGGGGGGCCCAAAATTGTGGTCTGAAAAAAAACTTCCGCGCTTGCGCGGGAAAAAATTTTGGGCCCAAAAACCCAAAAGTGGGCCCAAATTTTGAAATTTTGAGGCCCATTTTCTTCAAAATTTGGCCTAAAATTAACAAATAAGGCCTTACAAGGCCAATTTATGACCAAAAAGGCCTACTTTTTGGGGCCATAAAGCCTTTTTTGGCTCAAAAATTTTTTTGGGCACAATTTTTTTTTTCTGGGCCCACCCAAGGGGGGGGGCCCGGGCCCCTGGGCCCCCCCCCATATCCGCCAGTGTCTAATAACCCTATTTACTTGTCATCCTTTCTGATATTTTGACTTATTCAAGGTGTTTGCTATTTATTTGTATGGGCTTATCAGTTTGATTTTCACAGTGAAACCATAAGGCTTGCCTGAAAGTATATATGATCGCTTTGTAATCATTTGTGTTCACACGGAGTGGAAGCCACAACTGCTGTCCTTCAGGAGGGAGTAACTCAGTGGGTTTCATAACATAGCCTATAATCTAGAGACTTAGATAGCCAGTGAAAGGGTAATTGAATAGCCATACTAGAACAGCCAGATTTTATTTAAAATGAATCCTCCGTTGTGAGTTTAAGCAAGGACGTCTATCTCTTGCTGAGACTTTTGGTTCTGTTGAATAACCCCTTATCCCCTCTAATGAATTTAATTTTCTATTTTTGAAAATTCAATATTTCTGTTTTGACACACTTGGTAGAACTTCAGGATCAATTGACAGTTGTGTAGTTGAACTAAGCTTTCCAATAGACTAGATGCGAGTATAAATCATCTTGATTTACTCATTAAAAATTCAAACTGGTGTGATATTTGGAATCTACATGTAAAATTAATTCTAGAAATGTGGTTTTGAAAAGAGTTTAAAAACTTTGAAAATTTAATTTTCTTTGAAAATGTGACTTCTAGGTTTGGGGAGATTCCCCATAGACCCCATGTTGTAAAATCACAAAAGATGAAATATCTTTTCTTGTGTTGGGCAGATAATATTTTCTTTTACTGGACATATTTTAATTTGTATAATTATAGGAGTAATATGAAAAGTGAACCATTAAAACTGATGAATATTCAACTTTAATAGGACTTTGTCATACTGTACCCCGCCGTGTTATTTCCCCTGGATTACCCACCTGGTGGTGAAACTGGTAACTACTTACTCGCATCTAATTATATCAGATTAGAATTATGGTTGTGATTGCCATGTGAAAAGATGATCGAATGATCTTTATCAATGTCTCATTGGAGACTTTTGATATGTGATATGGTTGATTTCTTCTCTTGATATATTAAATTAACATAGAAAATGATATACCGTATTCTCTGCAATTAGCGCCCTGGGTGCTTAGAAAATTCTTATTAGCCCCCATATATGAAAGAAGTAAAAAAATCCCGGGAATTTCATGTATGGCAATTTTTCTTGCCAAGGTTGTCTTATTTGTAACATCAAAAGGAAGTAACATATATTTTTACAATAATGATATGTATTGTTATTAGAGAGATTAAGGTAAAGGCAGGGATCTTGCAAGAATCTAAATAGACAATATTGACAGTGATTGAAGAAGCAGAAGCTTTCTTGGTTAAATGTTGAAGCACCCAATGATGGATATTTATCGGGAGAATGCATCGAATTACAAAATGCGTCATGTTTAAAGCAGTTTAGTGAAGTATTCTATTATCATCCCACTTAAATTTCTTTGGCAATTCGATTTTTTCTGATATATTTGTTAATACTTTGTCATTCCTTGACATTCCTTGAACTTTGTGAAGCGGGTGGACACTTATTAGGGGAGGGGCATTAATTACAGAGAATACGGTAATATTCTCATATTTTCCCTTGATACTTTTTTCCAATAATTCTCAAGGGTAACGGGCTGAACGGGATGCAGTATAATGGCACAGGATAAAGCATTATTTTATTGACATCTTAGAAAAGTAAAGAAACGTCATTGTCAGGAAACTCTGTAATTATGGTCTCACAGACAATATTGATTCTTTACTTCAAGCAATGAGGAGATCTTGTCAGAGATTGTAGAATTAACCCTGTATTGTTAGATTAATATTGCTTTTTATCTTACACAAACTATAAGTTTACACCTTGATTTAGAATTTATTGGATTAAATCTATTTAATTTTATTTTATTTTTGGTATTCTAAAGGCTTCCTCACATATGAGCGAAAACACCTAACGTCAACTCCGTTCCCATAAGTACTATATGTACGTTGTACATCATTGGAGCATTCGTATACAGAAGTACAATTTTAGAAAGCTTCGGACAGGTTCGGAAACATGTGTAAGATTGCACTTCGGTTCACATGTTTAAATTCCCAATCAATAGAATTGACAATTTACCCGTTTCGCAAGGCTGCATTTTGTGGATTCGTTCATATGTGAGGAGTCATTTAAGATACTTTTTACTTAATTTCAGTAAGAATTCATGAATCTAAGTGAAATCTAAATTTCATCTAAATGAAATATAAGTGCCCAGCCTTTCTTTAATTTTTTATTATTTGCTTTCTATTGAGTTGGCTTTCGTACAACTTGTAACAAAAAGATATTGCAAGAGTGCCTCGTAGTGTCTCATAAAAATTTACATTCAATATGAGGCGAGGTTAATTAAATTATATGTTTAGCATTTTGATTTTACATGCGTTGAAGAAAGATGAGGAAACGAGGCTTCTTGATGATCTGTACCCTCAAAGTCTATCTCTGTTCATTTTGAAGCATACATTTCAATTAAAATAGACTCTTCACAAAACAGCATTTTTCTTTCAATATTTTGTTCCAAAAGAGGTTCATTCTTTTTACTCCTTCTCTGAAGAGTTTTCACTACCAAATAGACTTAGATGATTTAATAATTTTATTTTAATCTAGTACACGCAGTCACTCTGTTCCGAACCGTTCCGAAATTGTTCTGTTCCGAAGCAAAATGTTCCCAACCGAACCATTCTGATTTGTTTTTGTTCTGTGACATCTCTACAAAATATACTAGACAAAACGGCTCCTTATAGAGAAGTATTCTATTTCTTACATAGAAGGTCCATGAACATGTAAGACAAAGGAAAAAAATTGGTTCTTTCGAAAACTGTTCCTTTGTAGAGAGTGTTCCTTACATAGGGGGTCCAAGAACTTTTAAGACAAAGGAAAAATATTTAGGTTTTTTGAAAAACTGTGCCTTGTAGAGAAGTGTTCCTTATTAAGTGAGTCCTTGAAATCTGTTCCTTGTAGAGAGGTGTTTCTTATTAAGTGAGTCTTATTAAGTGATACACATTTTCTTAATTTTGAAATAGTCTAGTTAGGATGCTAAACATTTTATTTATTTACCCTTGCCTCAGAAGGATTAAGATATAGTAAATGCTAGGCTCTATTGATTTCTAGACAAGCTCATTAGTCTATTAATTTGATTAGCTGTCAAGACTCTAATCTAGATATCATCTTAGTTATAATATATACATTGCATACATATAATCAGTTCATTTGTTCTAACAGCTTTCATCTAGATATATATATTTTGGCTTGCTCTAATGACGTATCTGTGCTTAAAGCTATGCTTTTTCAGATATGAACATGCACTTTTATTAATGTGATATTACCATATTTTTACTCAAGGTGTATCTGTCTTATATGCATCTGGAAATCTTTTCATTTTAAGATATCTTAGGGAGAGTGGCTTGAATAGGAGTTGAAATTATTCAATGTTATATATCTAACAAAATAGCGCTAGGACATTAAGTCATTTTAATGATCAGTTCTGGACACATAATGCCATACAACCTAATAAATCTACATAGTTTGTACTTTAAATAATTAGATTATTCTCCAGGTGTTTTCAGTGTTATAAAGATTGTGTGAGTAACCATGGTGATAGCATTTTCTTTGTGTGCAGATACATTATTCTTTTATTTTATTTTGTTATATATTTCTCGATTTGTTTGCTTCATCATAGGTGTCTGTATAATTATTAGGTTTTGAATAATAAAATTGTTTTAAGTTGGTCAGTGACTCATTGGTTTTTATTTGTGAATTAAATAGAGTCTAGAATGCTGGGAAATAGTTCACCAAAATAAGTTAATAGTTATTTCATATACTTTACAAAACAAAGAATCATTTGGAATGTACTAAATAACCAAATACTGGCTGTTTCATTGTATTTGTAGAGACAAAAGCACATGATACATATATGCACTCTTGAAAAAGTAGAAAATACAGGCTATTCATTCACAGGTGTTAATGATTTTTTATTATAATTCTCAAAACATAAAATATGTTTTAATATTACAATGTCACATGTTTGGGGGTCACAATATGGAAACAGATGTTTGGGTCTAATTTAATAACGCTGTAATCAGTAATGAAATTGCTCGTCATATCGCACATGCAAAAATCAATGTTTAGGTCAATGGTCTATATACCTGCATTATGGAAATTATGAAAATGGTAAGGAAATTTTTTCTTAATAAATGATATATGAACTTATAAACAAAAGTTACAGGACTTGCAGTGTTAACGATAACCGCAATTTCGATGATTATTGATTAG